TGGTTATGCCAGAGGAGGTGTTGACGCTTGCCAGGTAAAAAATACATCTATGTAATAAATTATAGAATCATTTAATTTCAAAAATAAAACAAAAACCGTTTAAGATCCCATTTTCCTTAGTGAAAACCAGGAAACATACAGGGTCTATCTTGGACAACACTGGGGAAATCACACTAAAACTAAAATATTTCGACTAAAACGCCTATTTTTTTAAAAATCTTATCACCTAGGTATACATATATAATAAGTAGATATATATAATAACTATAATTTTCAGTACAGTACTAATAATACTTGTTTTAAAAGTGTTAACCCTTGAATATTTCTATTTTTATTAAACTTTATTAAACCAAACATTATTTTTATCAATTTTAAATTTTTCAGGGTGACTCTGGCGGGCCATTAATGTTGCAAGCAAATGGTCGGTGGACACAAATTGGTGTGGTTTCGTTTGGAAACAAGTGTGGAGAGCCCGGATACCCGGGTGTCTACACACGTGTTACGCATTATCTCACATGGCTACAGCAAAATATAACATAACTTATATTTAGTTTTTACCATTATTAACTTATTGTACCTACTATAGACTAAAGTGTGTATTTTAACGGAAGCGAGAAAAGTGTGAATATGAGCTTAATAGATTTATAAACTAGTACCGTTATCAACATTTCCATTAATATTATTAAATTATTTATTTCACGTATTTTTATATTAAGGATACTGCTGTAAAATGCTTATCTATTATCTAAGAATGGCTGAAAATTCTCCACCGTTGAGTAATTCAAAAATAATGTTCTATTCTTTGATAATTTAATAAATATATTAGGTTTCTACATAACTCACACATAATTAAAGGATTCTGTGTTTTTGTAATAAAAAGAAATAATAAATAATGTGATATCAGAGTTTTTTCTTACTGAAGCTAATTTGTGTCTTGAAGCTTGAAATTGAAAAAAATTGAAGCTGGTTTGAAAATGTCGGGGCACAATTCGAAATTCCATCCGTACTACCTCGACGCATGATGTTCGCTTGAGACAACATAACTTTTTGACAGACGTGATGAATTTGTATGAAAATGAGCGCGAGAGTGTGGACGGTGCGCTCGGGGGCGAGGCAAGAGCATTCAACAACAGTTTCGCGCTTGCTCACTTTGTTGTTAACTACTGCACTGTTAGGAAGCGCGCGTTTACTTATTATTACGGAGTGAGGTAACGATAGTATGGATGAAAAAAAAGGGTGCGTGTACTTATGTACGCGCGTAGGAAGTTATACTTCTTTGACATTATTAAAAATAGTTTTTGATTGCATGCAAATAATTTTTTTTTTTTTTTTAATGACAGTTCACACCAATTGACTTAGTCCCATGTTAAGCTGGTGAAGCTTGTGTTATGGGTACTAGGCAACAGATATACATACATATTATAGATAGATAGACATATAAATACATATTTAAACACCCAAGACCTAAGCACAACACCAAATGCTCTTCACATCGATGTTCGTCTCAGCCGGGGATCGAACCCGGGACCCATGGATTCGCAGTCAGGGGTACTAACCACTAGACCAATGAGTCAACAAAACACAATTTAATAATCAATAAAGTTCAGTTTACATTTGAAAAATTAAATAAATAAATATTTATTATTATTCTCTTACATTAAGTGTAACATAAATTCTATTATTATTCGAATGTTATTTTAAATTATGTCCAATGCCGTAGCATCTTCCGTGGGCAACTTCATTCTGTTAATTTTGTGTCACGGTGCGCGCGCATCGTTAAATTTCATTCACATCAATTTTTCATAACGCGCCTAAAGAAGTATAACTTCAAAAATGTTATCAAAAGAAATTGATTGATCATTTGTAAGCCAAAGTGTAATCGGATATGCAAAAATTTAATATCAAGACGTTAAAACCTAAATAATATCATTAATGGCGACTTTTAGAGGATACATAAAAAATATAATATCACGTCTATCTTGTAGTAGATGTAGCGCGCAAATAAATAAACCTAGAGTCTGGAATCTGGATGACTACCACTCGTGCAGCCTCGACTCGTCAATACTCGCGGCGAGAGCCTCCACTAGGCGCTTCGCGAGAGAGTCTGGAGCCGGCATTAGAGTTGTATAATGTTGTGGTATGTCTTCTTACGTCCATTCCAATAAAGAAACATCTTCTTTTAGTTGAATAAAGTCAACTTTCTATTTGATTTTTCTCTTACTACTTGTGGATACTGGATATATATATATATAGACTATAGATCAATGAAATAACGATGATTAAATTTTTTTTATTTACACAAATACAGTATTTACAATTTTCTTAACCTATAAAGTAATAATAAAAATAATTAAAGAAGAAAGAAGAAAATCAAAACAAATTTAAAAAGTTTGGTCCCTGTGGCAGTGTACCTTTAACGCTGGCAACATTTCCTCGCTGTATTGCGAGACTTATTCTTTGAGCCAGGAAAGTGCCAGCTCTGTGGTCACCGGTACTATCTACCAGGCGCCAACTTAAATCTTTAATAAGCGCCTGTGCACTTGAACCCCACGGCCCAAGAGTCTCTACTCCAAAGGGAACAAAATTGAAGTTGGAGGAAAGACTCTTATATTTGTGCCGTTTGTTAATTTCTGCCTGTTCTGCGGCCGCGCCAGCTTTTTTGCTTGTCCGAAGGAGATGAGACGGGGCAAAGGTGTCTACACAGGTGGCATCCCATACTAAAGCCCGTCCCATTTTCCAAGGGATCAAAGACATTCCATCCGGCCGCTTGCCATCGTCTCTTGCGATGCCTGTTGGCTCCAAAATTGCTGGAACATTGACGGAGGCAAGAGAGCGGCGTATAATGTCGTTTAGCGCGGCATGGCGACAAAAACGACCTGCACTCTTTTGGCAGTGTAGGCCATGGTGTCCAAGGCTACTTACTTCAAAACCACAGGGACACTTATGGGGAGTACATATGGGCACTCCTAAGCGGAGGCTGATGGCAATTCGAAGTGATTCAGGGTCTAAAAGGGTGCCAGTGTTTGGCGAAGGATAAGCATTAAGCCAATGTCCAGCTTAGCTAGACCCCACAGCCATCAACCTTGCACGGTCTGTTATTGGAATGTGACCTAATAACTTTTTGAATTCACATTTGCAAAGAGGATCATCCCAGCTCCTTTGAAAGTTGACGCTAGAAGGCAAACTCAAGCCTGGGTTGGATGCTATCCACGCGTTTCTTGCATCTGTTAAATCCGCAATCTCGTAGTTTGTAGAATAATATCTAAGGATTTTACCTACCAGACTGCTAGATTTGTGAGCAGATGAGAGAAACGCTGGAAGAGCTACACTTGTTATCTTGCGTACTCCTAATCCGCCAAAGCGAACAGGAAGCGATGCTTGATTCCAAGAAGGTGTATCAAAACGAACATTTAAAATAGATTCCAAAGAAGTTTTTAAAAGATTATCCAAATCACTTAAAAAAACTGAATGATTCCATAGAGGGCTACAGCGAAGTACGTAAGTTAATTTGGGAATAAAAAGGCAGAATTTTAAAATGAACAAAGCTGAGTGTGCTGTAATATCCAGAAGACGGTGAGAAAGATCTTTAAATTTTGATATTGTCGAGTTAATGTATTCTTCAAAACCTTCTTTGAAAATCGGTGCTCCTAAGAGGTACAGCGATTTTTTATTTTTTATTTTTATATTTGGGGCTAAGGTATTAATTTTTTTTATTGTATGGTCGGTGTCCATATTCTCACCATGGAGATATATTTCACATTTATCAAAATTTAAAGTTAGACCCATTGAACTAAAATCTGATATTATTTTAGATAGATCTGAAAGTACTACATCTGCGTTACCTCCTAGAGTACCATCGTCAAGAGGTTATTAGGTCCTAGAGTACCAGACGTTAAAATTTGATTTTAAATTTTGTATGCAAGAATTTATTGCGAGACTAAAAATAGCCGGCCTAAGAGGATCACCTTGTTGACAATCAACTTCTGAAGAGAGTTCGTAACTCTTGTATGTTAATTTTGATGGCTCTGAGTAACACTGTAAAAGATAGTTATATATTTCTGGAATGTTTTCAAAAGACTTAGTCAGCAAGGTGTCCCTGCTGATTGAATTAAATGCATTCTTGACGTCAACTTTCAACAACACATCAAATTTTTCGTTAGAAAAAAGCGTGCGCAAAGCGTGTATAGCAGCTTCACATCCGCCTTTAGTGCCAAAGCCAAGTTGTGTTGGTTCAAAAATTTTGTTCAATTTACTAATTATATGTTTTACTGCAATTTTCGAGGTTAATCTGCGAAAAGTGCTACCTACAGCAATTGGCCTCACCCCACCATCTTTTTTTGGTAAGAGCCACCAAGTTTGCCCCATATAAAATAGGAGCAATAGCTTGGTTTATCTCCCCGCAAAGCATTTTATTAACGAGTTTTTTAAGAGCTTCTAAAAGCCGAGCACCTGTATCACCAACACTGAATGAAGTTAAATCTTTAAGATGTTGGGGTTACAGCCCATCCAAGCCTGCAGCTGATCCTGGTTTAAACGAATTTATAGCGTTTAGAATTTCATCCGTAGACTGAATTTGAAGGCAGGCCTGGACGTCTGTGGGAGGGTCTAAAAAAAAAGGTGTGTCTGGAGCACTGGGGTGCTTTGACGTAAGAGCTGCAAGTGTAACCGGGGTGTCAGGGGCCAGTACATCATTTGAGAAAATAATAGATAGAATAAAAGTAGATAAATAAGAATAGATCAATGAGATTAGCTATGACATGTTATTTCGACAGTGAGTAGTGACTTACGTCTTACTTATCAAATATCAACTATCAATAAAATGACGCAGACGCAAGAATGATGATTACTACAACATTTTTCAACTTGATATGAATTTAACAATAAGATTTTCTTTACTTTAGGATGCCCATAATTTCTATAATAGTTTTTTGTATTAACAACAAAAATAAAAAGATTATTTTTTACTTTGGTAAATAAAAAGTGTGATTGGACTAATAATAATGGTAAAATACACAACTTCTCCTGTACCATCTAATTATCCCAGAAGTACTTCTCCGTTGCCTGCACCAGCTAATTACCAACCATCTACACCAAGTGCGGCGGCAAAACGCTACATATACTTGAGAAGATTGTTCAAATTCAATCAAATGGACTTTGATTTTGCCGCCTGGCAAATGGTATATTTGTTTGTCTCACCGCAGAAGGTGTTTAGGAATTCCAATTATAGAAAACGTAAGTAGAACTTTCTATTATGTTAAGATCTATTTCCAAGACACCTTATTCTAGAACCCTCAAAAATAATAACTTTTAAGTAAACATAATAAATATTGTCTTAGACTTTGCTATTTTGCTTATATTTGGTATATTTGTATTACTATAAATATAATATTATAGAATTAAAATATTTTATATTATTAAAATAATACACAATCGTATCTTAATTATACAGTTTATTTTATTTTTCAGATACTAAATCACAATTTGCCAGAGACGATCCAGCATTTCTAGTTTTACTGAGTGTGTGGCTTTTCTGTAAGTTTTATTGTACAAAATAGGGCATAAGACAATCTTTATGGTTTATCTTAAAATTGTGTCTACTTAAATTTTTATTTATAGGCAAGTAGGTCAACCACAGTCTTTCCTGGTGGTTTAGCACAGCAACAAATACAGGACTTTATAAGGCTATTGACCATGACTGTACTGACCAAGCTCAGTCTAGAAAATATTAATTGGAATGAATTATATTGAAACCATTAAAATGTATTAACTTTATTTTTTCAATTAATTTTCACTTAAATATTTCCATCATCATCTCTTCAATATTTTATCACTTCAATAAATAAATTTCAGTATCTTCAATATGTTTTGCGCTGGCTATGGGACTTACAACAATACAAACAGCATTATTTGTGCTGTATGTTGTGTTTGTAGACTTTATAGGAGCTGGGATATTTATGTCAACAGTATTATGGTAAGCAATAACATTCTATTACAAACATAATATTACCATATAAGTGAAGAAGGAAGTTCATAGTTTACAACTACTTACAAACAGATTGTTACTAGACTTATTTACTGTCAGATTAATTATTTAATATTTTAGAGTCATTACATTATTAGAGGATATGATAACTGTTGAGAGAGAAATGATAATTATATTAACATGTTTCTTTAGGGTTGTAAGCAACAAATACCTACGAATGGACTCTTCAGCCCCTGATGTAGAATGGGGTTATGCATTTGATGTCCACATTAATGCATTCTTTCCACCCTTATCGTTATTGCATTGCTTTCAGATATTACTTTTCAATGGTAAGTATTAAACAACATTCAATATTATAATTTGTAACTTAATATAATTTTTTTTTATTTTTGTTTGTGACTTTGTATGTAGTTTGGACTCAGTTTCCGCACTTAGACACCCATTTGGTCCGTTGTGTGTTAAAGTACGTGACTTTAAAGTGTTCATATTTCTGCTGCCATATGTTATAATATCAAACATATTCATAAGTTTATATGTTTAATACAAATTCTTAGGCAAACTCAAAAAAATATTTTGTTTTTTAATTAATTTAAATATTTGAACTCTAAGTAGAGATTTTGAGTTTAATTTTTCTATACAATTTCAGGCCTTCTAAGTCATGGCGGTTTACTCTCATGCTTTGTTTCAAACACATTTTGGTTGGCTTCCTTCATATATTATTTGTACATAACATTCCTGGGATACAGCAGTGAGTATTTTTATTAGCCTATCAATAAACAAGTCCAAAGTATAGAATCTTAAATTTTACTGATATCATTACCATGTAACTGAATATTTTGTCTTTGATATTTCTTCCATTTAGATAGTGCCTAAATTATATTTCTTTCAGATCTACCAATGATGAAGAATACTCGAATATTTCTCCTGCCCCTACCTTTACTTGTGCTGCTTTATTTAGCATCACTAATGGCAGACTGGAATCTAAGTCATATGCTAATGAATTTTTACCATTACCGAGTACTTTAAGAAAACCACTGATTGCACTATATATATGCACATAATATCTGCCTTAAAAACCTAACTAATTTCCTATTATTTAATGGTGTTGTTGAATTTGTCATCATTTGCACTAAATAAATAGTAACATAGGAACTTTATTATTTATTCATTAGTGTAAAAGGCAGGAAGGGAATAATAATACATGGAATACCATCAATTTGTTTATGATTTAATTCTATCTCACTTTTGTACTTCTGCAACTACATACAATGGATATTAAATAAATTAAGTATTGTTACGTCAATAAACCCTTATGAGTACATTTATGAACTCAAGTGACCAAGGCAATAAAATTTATTCACGGTTGTAAACTGTTAGTATAAGTGTTTTCTTTACATTATTAATATATTATTTAACAAATCTAGTTGTTATTATTGTGAGCCGTTTTCTGCTATAAAAACACAATACCCTTTCAATGTTAAATATAGGAGATACATTTTGATATATTTTGCTTGTGAAAAACTCACATTTAAATAAAACTCCTGTATGGATTTTAATGAATATTAATTATATAGTGTAATACAGAGGCAATTGATTGCTGGGCACGCTACTGCGAAGCATTCACACAATTAAGTAATTTAATAATTTCGCATTTAAATACGTTAAAGAAGTTTTATACATGTATTATGACATATATTTTCTAACTTACAATGATATGACAAGATTTTAAATTATTTAAAAAAAAAAGTTTATAAAAAAATTATATAAGCATACATTAATAATATTAATTCTTCGTTATGTTAACTGACCGCAAAATTTCGAGTGTTTTCCAATGTACATTGTTTCTTTTTGTAAATACATTAAAATAAATAAAAAGTCTTTGTTTTTATTAAAGTATAAATATTAACAACTTACACACATTATTAATCATCATCTAATACTATAATTTCATCATCCACCTTAGGTTTCGGCTCGTGGAATGAAATACTTTTCTTAACCTCTGGTTTTTTAGGTCCAGATTTGGAAGTTTTAGTTATTGTAAGGGAAGATGGCAACCGACTAATGGATGCACTTATATCGATTGATGCTTTAGACACCGGGATATTCTTTTGACGTTCTGCTAATTTCTCCTGCAAAGTTTTTCCTGGGCTGACCTGATTGGACACTGGCTTCGGATGTACGGTTGTCTTTAATGAGACAGACGATAATTGAGATGATGGCAAACTATTTGTTTTAGATGCTACGTAGTTTGGTAAATTTGCGGTCATAGAAGCAGGCAAAGATTGTAAAACTGTCCCCATACTGGGCGTTAAAGACGTTGTGGCTGATTTCGTCATACTCGTTATAACCGGCGTCGATGTTGCCTTAGTCACCGTGGATGTAAACTTGTGCTTCGGTTGTGATGTTGTTAAACGGCTGGATGTAGGTTTTGGGGCCCGTTTTTGCTTTTTTGTCGGAGGTGGATTGAATGAAGACAGGCCTTGACTAAGAAATTGTCTATAAAACTCGGCTTGAAATGAGTTTTGAGCGGAAAATTGCAATGGGTTCGGCAGTGAAGTAAAGTTTGCGAGGGCGCTCATGTTGCTGAGATAAGATAGAGCGGCTCTTTGTTGAGAGAGCATAGTTTCAGCTAACATTGGCATATAGTCTTGGAATGATGCCGTAATGTCAAGGGATGGGAGCTTGGGTACCGCAGAAGTTGACGTAGCAACTGGCTGAGGTTTCGGTTCCGACTTCGATTGAGACGTTGGGATATTGTTGGGCGTAATTTTGCTATTTTCAGTAGATTTTGCAGATTGTTTCTTCTGTGTTTGCGTTTTGTCCAAATTTGCTTGAGCAAGGGCCTGCTGCTTTAGGGCCAAATTCATAGACTGGCAGTATTTCATACTCAAGTCCACCAAATTCATACTTTCATTTATTGGAGTAGTCGTTATAAGTTTGTACGCATCAATTAATAAGTTAACGAATTGTTTTGAAAGAGGTTGTTTTTGCACCTTTTGATATGAACGATATATATCTAACATCAAACTTTTCAATGCTTGACGTTCAACTTCATTGCTTTTAATATCTGGTTGTTGGCTAAATTTAACCAACTGCCCTTTAAGAGCCTGAACGCATAACGAGAACGCTTGTTGCGCCAGATCCTCTCTATCTGAATCCCGTAAATACTTTTTATCTGGTTCAGGTATTCGTTGCAAATGAATACTCAAATCTAATAATGTTTTGTGATCGTCAATTTCTTTGAGAATTTCCATCGTAAGAAGTACTGACCGATTCATGTGGAAAGCAAAACTACCACCTCTATCAACGTCATTTAATGGGATTTTCCATATATTATTAAAAAAGTTATTTGTCTTTTTTTCACTAAATAAACCACCTAACTTTTGGCCCGATCGTGATGTAAAAGAAGATAACATTAAATCGCGGCATCTTTCTATATCCTTACCCTTTTTGTAATAGAAGTGGTAATGAGCAAGTCTGTAAATGGCTTTATAATGTGGTGGAAAGCGACTAGCACAGTCTTCTAAAGCATCAAGACATCCTGACACTATTTTCATAATTTCTTCCTCGGTTATTGGCTTGGTTTCATTTGAGGACTTACTAGAAGACTCACTGACTCTTGCTGAATCAGAACTGTCTGATGAAGATTCACTGCTGCTTGAGTCGGAAGATGAAGACGATGAACTCGAGCTAACTTCTTTTTTTTCCAAATCGCTGTCTTTTTTAACGTTTTCTTGAGCATCGTTGCCTTGCTCAATCTTATCTTTTTCGTCTTTATTTTGAATTTCTTTTATAGCTTCAACGTTGCTTTTCGTTTCTATATCAATTACTTTTCTTTCAGAGCAATTAAAGTTAGTTTGTTGAGCATCTTTAATACGCTCCGTGTCGTAGGAAGCTGACCTTCTAACTTTTGCAGCAGCAGATTCTAACTTAAGTTTCTTAGCTTCTAGATTATCTTCTTCTCCTGCGTCACTAATAGACCGTTTTAGAATGTTCGCAGCTTGAACAGAAGTTTCTTCAGACTTTGTTTCAGCATTTTCTTTCTTTGCTTTTCCAGTAAAAGGGCCTTGTTGCCATTCCTCAATACAATTTAAAAATACTTTACCTACTGATGTGGGTATAGGTTTATTTTCATGTTGCTCTATATATTTAAGGATTGAAGCGTGAATTCTATAATGTAACTCCAAAACTTCTATGCACAATTGTGTAGGTGAACTATAGTTAATTTTCAAAGGATATGTAGCATCCACCTCTTGCAGACTCTTAACACCTTTCATATAATAGTTTAAGTATATCAAAGGAGGTTTGTTTTGCTTTTCTGCTACTTTTCCTAACATATAATATAATAACCAAGAGTCTTCATTTGCCTTTTCATTCTCAACACTATTATTAAGATCAAGTGCATTCGTAAAACATTTCTGTGTGGTATCAAGTAAATTTTCTTTTTGTCTTTCTAGAGCTTCAAAATCTTCCATGCTTAAAGATTCACTAGCTTGCTTTAGCAACCTAGACACGAAAGAATGAACGGAATAAACAAAATTTCCATATTCTATCCATAAATTACAGTGATAAGGATCAATTTCTAGAGATCTCTTGAAACAACGTATCGTACTTTTAGCAGGGTTTAAGAACTCTTTCTCGTTATTTAGATTCTTACATGAATTTAACACCCTTTCTAGGTTCACTGCTTTGGCAAGCGATATTTCTGCCCACGATTCCAATCTATTTTTATTGATTATAACATCTAACATGTTGTATTTTACAGCAAGTTTACCCTCTTCTTTCTTGAAATAATAGTCTCCGAGCAAAAAATAAATATCCTTAATTTTAAAAGGCAAAAGTGGGGGAAACAAAGGCAATTTAGGATCAATGCCTTTAATATATCTTTCCAAATCAGGAACATATTTTTGCGGGTCACATTCGTTGGGCAACAATCCTAAAATACGATGGAACAATGTTTCTATATCTGCAGTTATACCAGTTAATTTTCCTTCTAAAGCAGGTAGGATAGGTGGGCGAAAGATTTCGTACAGTTGTTGAGCTCTGACCCAATCTAATGTATGAGGTGAAATATTATTATGTATTTCCACATATTTAACTTTGTTCTTTCGATTTGCCGGATGTCCATAAAGGCAATAAACACACTGTTCCATATATTGACAAATTATTTCTAATGATTTAGACAATGCCGGAGAACGCAATAAGGGAACCACTGCATCTAAGATAAAATATAAAAGCTTCCCATTTGAATTATCGCACCAACCTTTACTACCTAGTTTTTCGTGAGCAATAAATAGCACCATAAGAGGGTTTGAAATTTCTTCATCCAAGTTCTTGTCAGATTCATCTACTGGTCTACCTCTTCCTTGATCTTCTTCTCTTTGTAGTATATAATGCATAATTATCCAAGGAGAAACTGTATTCAACGGCATATCCGATGTTTTTGTTTCCATTTGATGACCAATTATTCTTATGAGATCTTCAAGCCCTTGACCCATCTCTCTTGGCGAAATGGCATCTAAGCAAGCAAAGCCCTCTGATGATAAGAGATGTTCCATACAACTTAATATTTTAACCACGGCCAAAGTCCATTTCTCATAATCTGGAGAGCCAGAAGGAAATCGGAAATAATGCTTTAAAGCTTCATGCAAACATACAAAAGACCATCTCAGACAATCACCAACTTTTTCCAAAGCCCAATAAGAGTCTAATATGAATGACAGTTGGACAGCAAAATCAAGAGACATTTCACTTTCTTGTTCTTTTGCTAAGGTTCTGCAGTGTTCAAATGAATCTATAATTATAGCTAAAACTTCTTCATGGCAATTTCGTTTAAAAAGATCATTGACCGTGGACAGCTTTTTGTTTCTTTCCAAAAACTTTATGTACTCCAAAACTTCATATTTATTTATTATTGGTTTAAATCTGAAGTTAATGATATGTAAATGGTATGAGTTTTTATGTTCACCCATAGCTTCAAACTCTTCTGATAGTTGATATAAACAGTCCAAGGCAAAATTTTCTTCTTTGTTTATAATGTAAATGTGCATTTTGAGCCATAGTTGTCTTAATATCACTTCTAAACATTCAGTGCTTCCATAAATTTCAGGTTTAAATGAAAGTATAAATTCTATGTTATCTATTACACTTAAGCTATGTGTAACTTTTTCATCAGTAGTTGTTAATTTATCATTTACAACAAACTCTTCAACCAGGAGATTGGCAGCTGTATAGTGCAATAAATCTTCAATATTGTCATCAGTACAAGCAGGTATTTCAATATGATTGTTGTAACATTCATTTGCTTGTACAAAAAGTTTGGACAAATCTCTTGGCCAATTCATTTTCCATTTTTGTGAAAGTATCTTTAGGTAATCCTTCAGCATGTCTATCATATCCCTCTTTTCTTCCATATATTTCTTAATAAATTCTTCAACATCACTTTCTTCTTCCTCTGAATTAAAATAATGTACTATTTCAGATTCTTCTTTTCCATCAAATAAATTTTCCAAGTTAACTAAAGATGGTTCGTCACTTGGATTTTCATTGCCTTTAATATTGTCAGTCTCTAAGTTTAATGGAACCATCCGTCGCAGAATATCATAAATGTTATCTTGTTTATTAGAGTTTTTTTTTCTATTAGATCTGCGTTTTGTACACCACTCCCATTGCTCCAAAAAACTAAGTGCACTTCCCCGTCTGCGCCCACGAGTTTTTTTTGTTTCTTTATGTTCAGGCGCTGCTTCTAATTGTTCTGTATTAACCATTTCAATATCACTTTCTACTTTTTCATTATCTGTTACTGGTTTTTCCTTATCAGACATATCATTCATTTCATTCTCTGAGGAGACTATTTCAACTGGTTTTTCATCAACTTCCTCCAGTTTAGACTCTACCTTGTCACTATCACTCTCAAGGTGATCTTCACAAATTTCCATCTTTTTCTGTTGGACTTCATTGTTAAAAACTAATTCTACAAATGCTGCATGGCTAAGTCCATTCTCAGAAATGTACTTATGCATATGTACTAAGGACTCACCTACTGACTCCCAAGTAAATCGATTTATTGGCTTTTGTAAAACTAAATTTGGCATTTTATGTATTTCCTTCTGTGCTCTCTGTTGTTCTATAAATGAATCATATATTTCTTCTGCTTCTTTAATGAGCTTTTTTGCAATTTCTTCATTAATAGGTTCATCATCTTTTTCATCCCACTTATAAATTGGGTTTAAATACTCCATATATTCTTTCATATGGCGATAAACAGTATAAATATGTTTTCTATATGCAATCCCTCGAAGGTAACATGCATCTAATTTAAGGGCATCATGTATAACAGCTATACACTGTTCTTTCATGTCCATACCAAGTAAAAGTGTAACTATTTTATCAATACAGGGCCAATGGCGGGGATTAATATCTTCACCACGTTCAAAAGCATATAGTGCACATTCGTAACGTTGAGCTTTGAAACATACTAAGCCAAAACGATACCAGAGTGTCAAATCTGTATCATCTAGCTCTGTAGCACAAGTATAAGCTTCAATAGCTGCATCCACCTGCCCAGCCATACTCAGCATAGAGGCAAGGTTTTTATAACACAAATATTTTAAATTGAATAGCGGTCCACTTACTTTCTCGCCTTGCATTGGTTTTTTAACATCATACAACAATTCAGTCTCCAATAAATCTTTAAGCAGTTGTGTTGCATCATTAAGACTCCCCTTTCTCTGTAAATCTAAAGCTTTAGTGTATTGTTGTAATGCTATTTGCTCTAATGCTTCTCGCGAGACTTCTTCTTCAGAACCGCTATCCTCTTCGGATTCGTCATTTAAAGCAGCTATTTTTATCATATTAATGGATCATTAATTCACGATTGTTATTTGGTATAAATATTTAAGTAAAAACCGTATTAAGAAAAATTTAAACAAATCACCAAACAATAGTAAACACTGGGCCACAGACTACTCAGTACTCACTACAGAGTACAGCAAGAGAGGACTTTTTTTTTTTTTTGAGTTTATGGTACCTTTAGGCCATAAGAGAGGAGGACTCCTCTAAAGACTTAAAGATACAAGTCAAGTTTTTAAGCCATAGAATAAAAGTATGTAGACAAACGCAACATCTTAAACATACCGTAAAATTTACTTTTTGATATATAAATATATTTCGTTTGTGAAACTGCAATGCAACCTATTAACATTCTGTTAATTCTCTTTAACTTGCTCTTTTTGATAAAAATCTCAAAGCAAGACAGAAAGTCATTACGAATAGTCTAGTAGAGTCTGTGCGAAAACCGAAAACCGTCACGTCGTGAGGTTTGTGGTGGCTGCAATGCTAAATTAACATTTTTGTTATGTTCAGACATCATTGTTAGACTAACTAAAATAAATAGTACTTTAATAATAAAGATACATCCTAGACTGGAAATAATACATCAAACGGTCTTCACTAGTCTTCGTTATATGACGTCTTATGTGTATAAGTAAATTTAATCTTAATTCACACTCATGATCTATTTTCTTGGTTATGGTAAACTCATTTGTCAAACCAAGCAAATTAACACATGAGTGTGAGGTATTTCACTCACAAATAAATCATCTAGTCAAAAAGCTAGATGTCCACTCTTATGTTACTTTTTATTCCAGTATATTAAGTTCAAAATTAAACCGAATCATTAATGCAACTAGTTGGTAATCTGTGATGTTTAAGTTTAAACCACAGTATCATTCAACTTCAAAAAGGGCTTTGACAACTGACAAGCTATTTGTAAATTAATATTTTAGGTTGTTTCCCAAAAGTTGAAGAAAAATAATACATTTAAAGAGTGACTTTTCAGTTTATTGTATAAAATGCTATCTCAACGGTATTTATTAAAACGTGGACTTCCTACGTATATTCAACACGCTGAGGCTCATCGCAAACCTCGGTGGCTGCCTGTTGCTAAAAGTAAAATATATCGAATTCCAAAACGCCCTGAAATATCCGTAGATGAACGGTTAGAATTGCGACGAATAAACAATGCTTATAACACACAAATGCGGGCTATTAGGAGGTTTTACGTTGAAGACTGGGTACGAGAAAAATCCTCTCTAGAAAGTGCGACATCGGAGATGTCCCAACGTTTAGAAGCCGACGAATGGTTAAAATGTGAAGAACTCAATGATAAGTGGAACAAACAAATAGCTTCTGACCGAGAAGAGAGACGAAAGAAGGAACTCGAAGCAATGGAAGAATTCGCTCTTTTAAGGATGGAAGCTAAAGACAAGGCATTAAAGGAGAGAATTGATAGAGCCTCAGAAAAAATTAAGAAAGAAAAGGTACAGTTTTTAATTGACACAAATTGACTAGATGCATTGCATACTAAGAGTTGGGCAATTTGGATTTGGTTTAATTGTATATACCTTTTAAATATTATGATTGTTAAGAGTTTATTTCAGGAATTGAGTACAACTTTTGTCACACGTGAAAATTTAGAAGAAACAATTGAAAATGTTTTGGCAAACCCTATTGATTACAACTTTGCTATAGACTTAAAAGGAAATATCTTTGAAGGAAGAGATACAGAAATAGAATATGAAGATAAAAAAAAGGCTGAAGCTGCAAACTAATCCATTTAATATGTATACTGTTAGATTAATAAATATTAATAGGCATCTATATTTTTTTTCCTATATTTTTAACTACGGCACAAGACTTATGAAATTAGTACTTAATACATAAACTTAATTGTGTGCACTGTTCAATATTCACATGAAAAAAGGTAGTTAGACTAGGCAATATTTTTATTTGGCTTTATAGTTAATATCTTAAGTACAAGACATAATTAACAACATTATTTTATGGCTAGTCTGTGTATTAGGTTTTACTTAAGTATTATTACTATTTTGGATTTTTTATAATAAAGAAAGTAAACATTTTCAAATATGAATTAACAAAGAATTGAAGGGCAACTCACAACAGTGTGATATACATACATACTACAGTTTAAAATAACTAATATAATTATAAGAATTGTTGTATCAACATGTAAGGATTAAGAATGTACATTCAAAACCTAAAATGTATTATAATTTTTATAAAGCTTAGAGTTGAAGGGTTTTATAAAAAATATGTCAGTAGTCAACATTATATTTACAAATCCTTAAAATACTGAAATCTTATCTCTAAACAATAATTACAACTTAATAGCCATCTCATCAAACATTGCCTGCCAATCTGGTGTGACATTCAGCTTATGTTGTAGAGATCCCAATGATATCATACTAGCAGAACGGCTTCTATCATCAACACTCACAGATACAACTTCTTGGCAAAAGGAAGCTTTTGTTCCAGAACTCACCTAAAATTAGACAATACCTAAATAACAATCTTGCTTGCAATTTATATCAAGTAACAATTTGGTAAATAGCCCAAATTTAAATTATTTTATTTCATTAGCAACATTATAATACACATACCAAATTCATAGTTAGGGTGAAAACAGGTTGAAAAATCTTCATATACTCTTGTAATAAGTTTGATGACTAGATGTCATTTTATTGCGCAGAGAAGATAAAACCTATTGACGTAAGATAAGAACTCAAATTTTATGCCTATTTAAATAAATTTAAGTACCTCAAAAATAGTATTCCCAAGAGCAAGTGTTACTCGACCGGAGCGGTGCACTCTTAGTTTTCCTATGCGTCCTTCTTCTAAATCGGATAGACGGCATTTTGTGTCCAATGGCTGTAAATCATAAATTAAAATTCTATAAGGCAAAACATGTTAAAGTCAAAATATAAAAAAGTACATTAGCATAGGAAATTCATTTTGGTGCAAACTTATTTATATAAAAAATCTCTATACATAAAAACCTACATCAGTATTCATTCATAATAGTTATTTTAATAGAATGTAGGTATTGCCGCAACAACACTTGCCTTCAAAACACATAAGCCCTTCAAAAAGATGACCATGAGATTAGGATAGTAAGCCACTCTTAATAATCAGGGAAAGAACATTTTACTTAGGATTCTCATGAAAATAGTTGGTAAATTGCACAAAAATTCTGACTACTATAATACATATATATGCTAGCTAGCTTTATAAAGCGCCATTTATGGCTCAATTATTAAAGCTTACCGGTTTCGGTTCAGCCTCCTCGCTGGAACTAGAAGGCTGATTGGTTGGTTTCTTCCTATCGTCATCACCGCTGCCTCCACGACCCGGCAACGTATCCGATAACTATAATGTAAGACACAAAATAGCATAGCAGCATTTTTTGCAGTTGGGGTATTTCCGAACTGATTTTCGAACGATACGATTCAACTGAGACGTATCATATCCTTTAAAGGCAGCAACCACAAATAATGGCCACCTATAATCGCTACAGGTGCCTATGGACGGATGGACTCTATTTTAAAGTTAGCATAAAAAATGTCTTTGTTTACAAGTGCGGGTATATTTATGAAATACTAATTGTTTAAAAAATAAATATAATGCATAGTAAATGATTTCCATTTATGAGAGGGTTAGGCTAATGTATAACATCATGAGGCAACCGACGTGTCAGCCATAGCTTGACGATGTGCATCAGGGTTAGGTGGCAGCCGTAAAGAAAAAAGTCAATTAAACAATCACAAAAATGTATTTGCTCTACGAGCCGTTGCGGGATTTACGTTTCATACAGTACGTCAGAATAATCACCTGTAATAATATCAATGTTGGCTTGTCAGTTTTCATTAGGTTGGCCACACTGATATCTTCAAATATTTCCTTAACATCTGGAATTGGCTTCTCTTCTGGTTCTGTCTCTATTGAAATTATTTTTTACATGAAATAAATGTGAAAAATTTAAGAACACTTGAGACTCCATAACACAACTGTAACACTTGATTTTCTTGAATCATGGACATGAACACGGGTCCTTGATAAACCATGTTGGTATATTATTGCTTCGAATTCTCGTAATCGCATTGTTACTTTATCGTGAAGTTTACTTTACAATGCAGAAAAGATAAAATAAAAATGTAATATTGCATACCGTCAGCATTGATAATCGTGTCAAATCAATCCTGTTAAAATCACTTACAAAGTAACCTTTGATCTCACAGACCAGAAATCAGTCAATCTTATTATCATTTATAACTTACTACTTTGCATAAAGAATTAAGTTTTATAGCAAAGCCTGAGTGGCTGCTCACATGTTTCTTAAGTGTAGAGTGACTTCAGATCATTCATACTGCATTGCACAACATATAAGTATTTTGTTTACAATTAAGTATAAGAAATAAATATAATATGCGAAAATAGTATAAATGCCAATTTACTACACTATTTATCTATTATGTCGAGTTTGTGATTAATATTTAAATCTATAACTATTCTTTAAAACAAATTTATACGGAAGAATAGCTTACGCATTTCTCCATCATCAGTTGGCTCCTGTTTAATCACTACCTCTTTTTTAATTTTCATTGAACTGCTTGACCATCCTAAAGGATAATTTTTTTTATTAAAGTGGGGTTCAAAGAGTACCTGATATGACTCTAGTTAATTTTTATTTAATAAACAATATATTATTTGGTGTACAATATAAGTTTGCTATCACATATAACAATAAAATTGTTACGATAAAAGTTTTTATTTTTATGTTTGTTTGTAAACTACTTAATCTTACTATTGAGCAAATACTAAAAAAAATTGACAGATTACAGAACAAATAATACTGAACTAGAACTAAACATAGAATAATATGCATTTTTTATATAAATGTAATATATACAAAAAACTACACAAAAAATGACCTTATTTATATACATTTGGAATAGCACCAATAAAAGAGTATTTACTTAAATAAACATATTTGCAAATCCTACATACCTCCATCGTCCATAGGTAGTTTTACAGGAGCATCTGTTTCTAGAACTTGCTTGAAATCTTCTGCTTCTTCTATTTCCTTTCCGTCTTCACTAAGAATTGCTTTTATTTTCTGATCTTCTAACTCTTTATCAATCTAAATAGTAATATGTATAATATAGTATGGTGTATGTGCATATTTTAGCAGTAAAACAAATTAGTTTGGTACAATGGAGCACACAGTGTAAAATTTAAGTTCAAATAGTTACACTATAATAATATTATGTATGTATTTTTGGTATTATAAATAGAGTTTTAAAATAATAACCTTTATGACATCTTTAACCCGTATTGTTGGTTTTTGTAAAGTTGGCGCTGCATTAACATCCCTTCCATATGACAAGCGGTTAGAATGCCGCTCAGCACTACCCATACCTATAGATAGATATTATTTAATAATTAATTATGATCAAGTCCAATATTATATCTTATGCATATACATAATACATATAATATTATTTATTACTGTACAATATGTAGATAGTGAAATTTTAACATTATTTATTCTTGAACTACAGAAATTGTGCATCTATATTTAAATTATACCTTCTGAGAAAACACCAGACGACTTAATAACGTTTGATCCATTTTTGAAATTCTTATTTCTATCATTCTTCTTATCTCTTTTATTTCTTTCATCTTTCCTATGTTCTCGAGTATTTGCTATGGATGGTCTGTAATATAGTAAAAACATTATATACAACACAATTTAATGAAAGTTAAAATGTGAAGCAATGATATATTTACCCTTTGTTTTTATTTCTTGTAACATTGAGGTTTGGGGTAAAAACCTTTTTATTTGGTTTAACACCACCAAGAAGAAGATCACGAGGCGCCTTCAAAGAAGCCAATCTTTGGAGAGGATTCGAACCAACTCCGTTAGTCTTATCCTCTAAATTAGACATTTAGAAGTATGTTTGCGGAGTTAGGGATTTGAAATATAATTTAAGATGTAGTAAACAGAAAAACAACCTATTTCAAAACAAAAAACTGTTTCCACACCTGTCTAAGTGCTGTAATTATATATGTAATTGTTATAATTCATATAAACAATTTTTTAAATTATTGAATCATTTAACATGAGAATGAAATCTGTTTAACACTGTTGACTGTTAACAGTTTTTTTTAATAAATAGCTTCACACAGAGCGTATTCGTAATTCGTATTGCCACAGACAAAGGTAAGAAAAACGGAATAGTAAGGTTAAACTTTCCAATATGGACATTGGACCATCGAAAGTTTAGCCATAATATGAAATCTGGAAAGGTGGGCTGGGGACTGGGGTACACACATGTGACATGGCCCAATCTCATACGTATGAGAGACGATGTTTCCTTTTTATTAAATTTCATTTTAAAAAACCATGACTTCAGTGGTATTGTGGGCTGTATAGATAAAAAATGTTTACCCTTAATTAAACTGCTCTGAATCCAAAGGTCAGTCCAAGATTGTCAAAGAAAAGAAGCAGGAAGTGAGGCCAAATCATGATAACAATTTTTATAGGAAATAGCATCGCCATCCAGACTTCAGTGTTTTTTTTTATGGCTCTGGACGATTTATGCATTAGCCAGCGTCAAGTATAAGATTTTTTATAATTCGTGCTAGTCTTTTTAGAAATTCGACCGTGTCCTCCATGTACGGTTTAGGCACTCGCCTGGTACCGCACAACCCTCCCAAAGGCCGAGAACAAATTTAAATTAAATTAAAACTTGCCCTCGAACCGGGAATCGAACCCGGTACCCCTCACCTAGCTGCCACTTAATAAGACCGCTAGGCTATGAGGCCCCTGACTTCAGTGTTAAGGTTAACTGTTAATAAAATTTCAAAAATTGTTAAGGCATATGACAACTGTCAATTATAATTTGTCAGTCAGCACTCAGCAGTGTTGTGCACAAATTCTACAATGATCTGATAATATATATATATATATATCTCGTATATATTTCGTAGTTAACCGTTACATAGATATATTTATCTCTTTATAAAATCCTATAGAATTAGGTATAAGCTGTCTTTAACTAAGGGCTAATTTCACCAAACTCAGATAAGTTTTATTCCAAGGAATTAACCCTGGAATAGCAAATTTTACATTTCACCAACTACTTAACCTGAGAATAAAACGTTATTCCAAGGATAAGATTTATACGCCCAATTTTGAACGAATACGGAGATATTCCTTGGTTAAAAATGGCCGCCATGTCATGTCAGCTGTCAGGATTCATAGAACACAGACATTTTGTTTGATCCCGAGTTTGTTGTGGTTGTTCCCTCAGAGTTGTTCCTGTTTTCTTTCCTTGATCTAATTATCACAACTAGATAATGCAACGTTTAAGAAGAATTATTTACGAAAGTGACAGTGATGATGATAGCGAAAACGAAAACTATGCTGTAAGGCGTCCAAGATGGATAAAAGAAAGAAATGATCATTTCAACAACTACGACGATGAAGACTTCAGGATAAGATTTCGGTTATCCAAGGTCGCAACATATAATTTATTGGTGAAAATTGAAAACCGTTTAGAATTCATATCTGAGAGGTAAGTTTCTGTAAAATAAACAACAATTTGCATCAAATATTTGATAGGAAATTAAAAATAATTAATTAATATTAATTATTATTTATTATTTATTAATTAATTATTATTATATTTTTTAGAAATCTTATGTAGTTTATTATTTTAAGATAAAACTAAACAATAAAGAAACAACTTTTTCATTTATATTTGTTTTATTAACTACAATTTTATTAAAGTTAAGTCTGTAATATAACATAACAATATACTTAAATCTAATTCTAGATTACAAAGTAGGTTCCATGACAGCTTCAAACTGACGTATAATCCAACTAAAGTAAAAAGTTCCATTTAACCTTCATGTTCTTTAAAGAAATTGCACATTTAATTTGTTTTCATTATACACTCATTCGTTCGTTCACTCAATATACACTTCCACAGATAAGCAAAACGGCTATTCCAAAGAATAGCTAATCTGAGACTAGTTTATCGGATATTTTACATGGTGAAATGTAAAGTGAGTTATCTGGGATTAAATTCAAGCGAATATGTTTATCCTTGGTATAGCTATTCTCGGATAACTACGACATTGGTGAAATCAGCCCTAAGAAGTAGCGACCACAGCTACCGCAAAAATAACAAGTAAATCCATATAGGCCATAGGCCAAGAATCTGCCCGTTACCTGCATTCCTTGGTCTGTGGTTTTTGGTGAACTTCCGATCATTCGTAGCTTACGTTTATTGGTCAGTGATAATAAGTGATCGTTATTCGTTACTTTTCAATTCATAAATATAAAATCGTCAGTGTCGTCTGAAATCTCGCAGTTGAGATTACGCTATCCAAATAAATTAACTTTAATCTATTTGTTATTTATTAAAAATAATGGGGGACTCCTTATTTGATATTTTTGGTGACATGTCTAAATCGACCATTAAAACTATTGCTCGTCAGCCGATATCGTCAATTGGTAAGCAAGCTAACTAGCTAGCGTAAGTGGGTAGACTTTACTCTCTCACCTCCTTTATACCTCTCAAATAATATCTTAAAACAGCAATCATTTATAAATTTGGTAAATATTCCGTATAGCGGCACCAGCGATTTTGAGACTGATTGTTTTTTACAGTCGCGTTATGATCTGTAAACATTATAACTAGAAATGTTATGATGGCACAATATTAATAATAGGTTTTTTGGACAGCTCCGGCGCTGCGGGAAATGCAGCCCCTCCGCCTTTGCGTACCAGAGCACAGGCATTATATTCTGCTCTTCCTCCGCGCCTCTGATTTTTTATATACACTCTAGGGGTAAGGCAGACAAGACCACGTGGATAGTGTGGTGCTCTGATTCGGTTTTGGGTACTTTTTGAATTATTTTTTGGCAAAAAAGGTCATGCTGAGAACTCATGACGAAGTCATAAAAAAAGATCAGCCTCAAAATCGTTGGTGCCGCGATATGGAATATTTACTATAAATTTTTATTTAATTCTATTGTGGGTAGTTTTGACATTTTATGTTTTTTAGAGAATATGGGTAAAACTGTATCCAACGGACCTCTCAAGCCTATGGAATCTAATTTACCTATGAAGAAGGGTGAAACAAACATCAAGAGGTCTTTCATGTCAAACAAGGGAAAAGCCTTACAGAGTACACCAATTCGACAGATTTCCACACCTGGAGCTAAAGTAGAAACTATGATTTACAATGACCATGCCTACTTGGAGGAAATATCTTCCTTCATGGATATACAGTTTACTGGATTTTCAAATAAATATGGTAATTCATTTTAATTCTTATATAGATTGTACATGTTATGTAACATTGCCATCCTAAAATTTACATAAGAACCAACAGTGACTAGATGAAATAGTGTGACTAACAAAAGCATAAAGCAGTATAGAAATATATAGATAAATTATAAGTTCTGATCTGTAAAAATGGAAAAAGATAAAGATGTTTACAATAGTACTTTTAGATACAGCTACCGCATAAACTATAAAAATCTTTTTTCAGATAACTTTCACACTGATATGTTAGACTATTTACCTCTGCCCGAGTTAAACATTCCAACAATAGTTACTCCTCCAAATACTCCACCTCCCGCAATGTCTAAACCAACTATGGATTTAAACTGCTCCTATCAAGATGATTTCTATACAGGTAAGAGAATTAAATTATTTTCTTAAAGCTGAGCTTGACTATGTCAACAATAATTTATTAGTTTTGCTTTGCATTGATGTTTACTGTCTGTTAATAAACATCAGTAATGTTAATGATGTTTATTTAAGATTTGTCCCAGATTTCTACATTTGTTTTATTGTTACAGATGATTTCTCCATTGACAGCTTACCAGACCCAGAATTGAACTTGCCGGCCATATTTTAATTATCAATTTAGAAAAAAATATTAAATGAACATCTGTGTAACTCTATGGAAAGTTTGATGTTTCTGACATCACTCTGGACTTAAAATTATTTTGAATAAAAAACTTTTGTATTAGAAATTAAATGATTTCATTAATTGTACCACTACCACTTGTGACTTATTATTAAATAAAAGTATGAAAAAAAAATATTTTTTGTTTCCATTACACTATTAAAAACTAATATATCATGGTCATTTCAGTTAAAGAAATTGTTTTTAAGGGGACTATTATAGGAATTAATAATATTGCCAATTAAATTTACATAAATGTTAGTGTTATATTTTATAAACAATCCCTCAGATTTAGAATTAAATACCTAATGGATTTGACATATCTAGTGCTAAGTCTCAACTCTGAATCTTAACCTTACAATATTTCTGAAACATTAGAAGTACAGATTAAACATTTTAGAGCATTCCAGCTATTTATATATATCATACATCATAAACTTACAAGGCCAGTAGCAACCTTTTACCTTTAATTTAGTACAGACAACTTCCCAGGCAAATAATAATATAATCAAATAATAACAACATAGATTAATGATTATGGTGTTATGACTCTAAAAATCTGTTTTATGGGCACTTGTAGGTAGTATGGTGACTACCATTGCACACTGAAATTGTCCATTCACCTTATTTTAGTGTCACATAATTCAGTCTTTCAACAAAAAGCCCTTCAAGTCAAACTTGGGCTATGTCAAGTATTTCTTCCCAAGTAATTGCACTCTCTTCTCAAATGCTGAGAAGGTAATAACTGTGTCTTCTTTGTAAAATGGATTTAACATAAGTTTTATATAAGCTTCATATACATCTGTGAAGAAATTTTTTATACCATCTTCATTTCTGGCATCATGAACCATTATAAAACGCATCTGAAAAAATTTAGATTAAATTTTTTTGAATTCTCTGAATTATATCACATAATAAAATTATCCATTGGCGAGAACTCAAATAATTTTATTATATACATATTATAAGTTACTTTTCAATATAATATTTATATTACTTAAATATTCACACCTGGCTAGCTGTAACAAACGCAGAGACAAACCACTGATTGAACTTATCTACAGACTTAAGATAAGTACTTGTACCCTTCCACATATGTTCATCAACCAAATCTAAGGCTGCATGGGCTATAAACTGGTTTAGATGTCTGTTATCTTCCTTCTGAAAATTATAATGGAGATGACTTGGTTTTGCAAATTACATATTCATAATCCTAGAACGAAATAAGCTTAAATAGGAAGTTCAATATGTGCTTGCCTGAACAACTTTTTAAATTACTAATATATTATAAGTATTGTCTGTAAAAATATAATAATCTATTTATAATCTATCTATAAAATTATTTATATAAGGACATGTAGTATAAAAAACGTGAAGACATTCCAGCTAAGTCTGTTGATTATCATAATGTGTGCTAGTCACAGTTTTTTCCATAACTATCTATTCTATTTAATTATTAGTAGAAATATTATTAAAAGAGTATAAAAACTGTTGGATACAATTAAATACATCTTGAGAAATTAAAAACTATCAATACCTTTACTTCTTTGGTAACTGGTATAAAATCCATTTCAAAAATGGGGTTATCAGAATGGCCAACAATTACAAAATAATAAGTTCCAGCCATTATAATTACTCTGTTAATATAATTTTAAAACAATTCTAAGATTAATTAAAAAAGTAAGTATTGAATCATTTATAAACAAAAATATTAATACTGCTTATTTTGGTAAAACAAACATTTTTGTGAAATTTAAATTGTTTCTTGAAATCTAAATTCTAAACTTCAAGTTCTGACATTTACATCAATAATCAAATCTATAAGTATTTGACGGCTGACAGACTTGAGGACTGACAGAACCCTTTTTAGTAAAAAATATAAAAAAGGCGCCAATATTCAACGTACTGCGGAGTATTAACTACTTACTACTTTATGAGTATTCTGTTATTAACATTCACTACCAAGTACCAGTGTTCGTTAAACTAAAGAGACCGTCAAGACAAATTAAACTTAAGTCTCTTATTAAATTAAATTTATCTATTTAAAATGAGTAAGAGTAAGTACACCATAGATTTAATTATTTAAACAATATGAATTAAAAAAATTATGAACAATTTAAGGATTCCCAATTTGCAATTTACGGCTATGGCGCGGAGGAAATTGGATATCCTACTATTCCAAAACAAATGATATGTTTTTGAATATACACATAGATCAACTTCTTATTACGTCAGATTTAGATAATAACATTTTTGAAACATTCAATATGAATAGCAAAGTTAAAGGGATATATAAAAACGACGTATTGGTTTTAATGGTTTCCGAAAATTCTCAAAAGGTATGAAGTTTCTTTGTAATTTTACTACTTCCACTATGTTGATTAAAAAATAAAGTATATTTAAATATTTTTAATACTTATTCTCGGCTATCATTCAGTTTATTAATAACTTAAACAACTTTTCTTTTCTTCATCGAAATTTATCGTAATATTAAACAAATAAAGTATCCTGCTTTGATAGCATGAAATTATAGAATTATTTCAAATTTAAATTTTACGTTTTCTCTTTTTTTTAGTTACGCTTATTTAATAACCATAAAGATAGACATTGATAATAAGAATTAATATATTATAGCTGATTATCTAAATCACCAATTTTAAGATTAAATAAGTATTTTTTTTTTAGGTACGAAAACTAAAATTTCAAATAAAAACGAATACTTCTAGTGTTATACGACAGTTGAGTCAACATTTCCCAGTTTCAAAATATCAATCTACGAGATATATTAATAAGAAAATGAAGTTTCGCAATATTAATGAGCACTTTCAAACTGCTTTAAACAACATAAAAAATAGCAATGGTACCTCTAAATTTTTATAATTGTTTTAGTAATATTTTAAAAACAAAAAAAAATTACCACTTAATCTTTTATTTTTCAGAAACATTAAAATTACCATTGCCAGGAGCTTATAAGAATTTTGTGAAACTTTGCCTTCTTGACCCAGCTTTTCCTATGATTATTCATGAAACACAAAATATTCTTAACAATGAAAATATTCATGAAAATAAATTACTATAAAACTTACCATCTTGAGTTTATTGTATTATTTTACATATTTCAGCACCACAGAGTATATTATAGTCTGTGTATTCTGTGAGTTATATATAGGGCAATCAGCAACCGTCGTTATCGGTTATTTGATAGCTGTTTGGAATTTGAATTTTGTACTGGTAGTTGGTAGTTGGTACTTAAATGTTTGTTTTGGTGATGATTGTTGCATTGTTTTAAATTTATTGAGAACTGAATAGTTACTTATTTAAAATAACTGTATCAAAAGCGTACTGAGTATCAATATGGCTAGCAGATATGGTTCAATGGCGGGACCGCCGTCAGCGGTTAGAAAATCTAGGTAAGTTAAGATTTTGTCAATTTGTATGAGTATTTGATACACTACCCTTATGTTGCAAAAATTGCAAGGTTCCTTTATTGTAAGAACTCACTGATGAATAACAGCTACGTTAATATACAAATTAAATTAATGCTTTGTTTATGTATTGACCAGGATGGATGGCAAGATGTCTTTATTGCCTAAGCCACGTCGACCAGGTTCGGTTGACAGACCATCTATAGATGCTAAGCGGCCATCAGCAGTTAATTATCGGTCAAGCAGTACTGAACCCCCTAGAGCTACTATTGGAGGGCGCTTAAGTCGAGAGGCTTCTGCCACTAAAATACCTATTAACAGTGTAAGATTTTTTTTGATTCCCGTTAATTTATTTTCTATTGTATAAATTATTAAATTTAAAACATAATATTCAAAAAGAATGAATAGTAATATTCCATTCAATATGTATTGAAATAGATACTGACTTTCTCTATACATGAATTATGTTATTTTTAATGTTTGCTAGTCTAGTCCTATGATATTGCTGTCAATATAAATAATAGTAGTATTACAGCAGAAATAAGATATTTAGACTGTAGAATCATATATTATTTTAATATAATTTAGAGGTCCCGTTCTCAAACCAGTGGAGGTGAAGTAAGGTATGAAAAAACAACTCCTCTACGTTCAAGCCAATACAGCAGGAATTATAATACACCAAATGTATGTATTATAACTAATTTTATTTTTTTATTTACCATGAAGTTTTTATTTTAAGTTAAATTGTAAAACGTAATTACACTGGAAGGTTTGTTAAGCAAAAATTACGCTCCCCTTTTAAGGATTCTGATTTTGGTCTTTAAAGGGAACAATGGTATGTGTAGTATTTTAATAAAATTTTACAATTGATAGAGGACACCATCCAGGGAGCGAGGTAAAATTGACCTGCAAGCTGCCTTGGACCGAGTCCTGGCATTTTATACTGTTAAGGATCAAAGGTTTGTAATTATTGAAATGTTTATTATCATGATGTAGCTATCGGAGAATAGAATTTATTCAGAATAGATATTATTCAAATCCATTTAATTTATAAATGCTTTTGCATTATAGATATTTAATAATATCTAGGACAATGTCGTAATTATTAAGATCTAGAATGATTACTTTATTTGATGTAAAAATATCTATACATTAAACTGAATTTAGTTATTTCATGTAAATTGCAGACCAATAAACAACATAGCATGGCAACGTTCAGAGTGTTCCCGAATGAATGAAGTACTAACATCTCAAGAATTAGGAGGACTCAACAGACCATTGACCATTGCCCGGTTTGTTGAAATTGTGAATGGGCTAATTACACACCTTCTAAGAGATCCTAAATTGAATAATGATACATATGTTACTAAGGTAAATAGTATAAGGTCTTTGTTATATGTGTAAACTTATATCTGACAATTTGTGTTAAACCTAGATAAGTTTAGTTTGCTAGAACTTTTTATCATTAAAGGAACTCATTTTATACTATCTGTTTTAAAAATCTCCCCGTTTGATGTGCATGCATTTGTATATATTCTACAAAAAAAAATTGTAAATAAATTTAGTATCTCGGTTAAAAGACTACCTATCTAGAATTTCTGGTATTAGTAATTTAGTAAATTAATCAAAGCTTCATTTCTTTTTATTTATAATTGCAACTGAATAACATTCACAATACATACATTACATTTATCAGTAAATAATTTGCTCTTCAGATGCCACATCTGGTGAAACGCCTTTTATACCCAGGTATTGTATCAAAGTCCTGGCTGCGTACCGTCAATACTCTACATGCCTTTCCACACGCATTAGCACTTATATCGTACCTCACTGACATGTTGTGTGATCTTGTAAGTAATATTTAGATATAATTAATTTAATTTGCATTTCTACCGATAGTAAAAATCAAATGTGAGTCTACAGCTAAGCATTCTCGCTGTTTAAACTGGCTGTGGCAATAGATTTATCTTGCAATCAACACTTGCTTAGAGAAAAATTATGAGAATCTATTATATATATATATTTTGCCTATGAAGATTTTCAAGGATACTGATTATATCTAAGGCCAAGAAGCAAAAACATTGGAGCGCCGAGCGCCACTATTTTATAATAACTTTATACTACTTATCATATATTAACTGTATAATGTTAATAAATAAGCCAGAATTTCTATAAGTATACAGGCACAAATACCATAAGTGCAATTTATATTCAGATAAATATAGCTATCTTAGTAAAAGTGGTCACTGTATGAAATTAAATTTAGATGAACTGTACATAGTTCTTAGGAATATCTCATAAAATAATTACTTTTAGAGGCGGCCCTTCACTGATGAATGCTTATATAAACATAATGATAAGGTGTCCTGCCTTCGGAGAGAGTTTTTGAAGGAGGGATGGCGAATGTAAGTGATTACTAAAACACGTTTGGGCATTTTTGGTTTCTACTTTGTGAAGTCAGCTGCACATAAAAGTATTTTCTATTAATTTGACTAAGGGTCCTTCAATAAAACAGTGTACTTAATATTAAAGTCGCACTCGACAGCCTGGCAGAGTGTGTGTGTCTATGAGCGGTATCAGTTATCACTTAACATCAGATCAGCGTCCTGCCCAATTTCCCCGTGACATATATAAAAAAAGGCAGATTGTATGTCTGACATATAAGTGACCTAAGGGCAGATACGTCTTCATTGAACATATCGTAAGGCTGTTAATTTTATTGTTTTTGTTTATATATAAATTTTTCCCTTTTTTCGTAAATGAAACTACTTTGTTTCATAGCATTAACGTCAATTAGGTTCAAAGGAATTTACGCTCAACTTGCCATTTGAAGTTGAACATAAATGTATGCAGATTTGTCTGTCCCACGCGCAGTAGCGTAGCTACCTTGGTTGGCACCCGGTGCGGCAGTTGGTGGTGTCGTCCCATCGAAAGTAAAAAGCAATAAATTTTACATGATAAAAGATAAAGATCACAACAGCTTCAGGCTCTTGCGGGAATCCCCTAATTCTACATAGAGCTGAGCTAGTGCTAGTGGATGAATCCCTGAAAAAGAAATTTTTATGCTAGCGATTTTTTTCTGTTTTTACATTGCTCTTAAAGTTGAGAGACCGGGTGGGTATCACCCCAAAAAAGGATGCCCAGTGCGACCCCCCCCCCTGCTACGCCACTGCCCACGCGCTCTAGGAATATAATAATATTTGAAAAATAATGTTTGTAAAGGTTCAGCTTGGACATACAAGTAGAAGTCGATGATCATATAGAGTCATATGTCGATCAATTCAAAGAGCTTGTTGGATTTGATGAACAAAAAGTGCTTGAACTACAGGAGATCAATAAAGGTAAGTCATCTATTATTTATTAGTCAATATTAAGAGTCATAATCACATTAATGTTATTGTATATATTTATATTAAAATAAAGAATTTGCAAAAAAATTGAATCTATATATATAAAATTCGCGTGTCACAATGTTCGTTCCCATACTTCTCCGAAACGGCTCGACCGATTCTTATGAAATTTTTATGCATTTAATTCTCAGAAAAACCTAAAAAGTTTTCATTCCGGAAAACCGAACAGTCTCTGGGGTAGCATAGCAAATGTTCCATGTTGGCATGTACTAAAAAGGTAGGCTAAGTAAAATCACATTAAGGAGAAATAAAGTTCGCGGGGGCAGCTAGTATTACTATAATATATTCAATATCAGCGATGACAATGTAATGGAAGATAGTTGCTGTTGGAACTGATCAGTAGGTAGAATGCTAACGCAACCCCAAGTTTCCCCAACAGTGACGTGATGGCTGGGAGGGGTGTTGGTCGGTTATAGCGAGTCTCACATTCTGCAGAATTGAAAAACTATATAAATTCAATATTATACAGTAAAATTAGTAGTACAGAATGCAATGCTGTTAACTGATGTTTTGTAAGAAAATTTCTAAATTTTATTCACACAAATCCAAAATTCAGATGTCGCCTACGTCAATTTAAGAAAACTCACTGGAGCTTTTAAGGTCTGGGCCTCAGCTTTAGGTAGATATAGGTTTCGTAATAATTTGTTGTTTTTTAAAAAGCAAGTAATTAATCAATCTGTTCCTGACACACGCCGTCGACATTCTGAGTCTAAGGCATGCCTGTTTAGTTTTCTCACGATGTTTCACTTCATCGAACTAGTGAGTGTTAAATAACATTGACAAAAAGGCCATTGGCGCATAGTCGGGGATCGAACAGACGACCTCGGAAAAAAAATACATCTATTTTCTTTAACTCTTATAGCTGTCTATGTTGCATTGACTGCTAAACAATTGATGTACATTTGAAAAAGTTACATACAAAAAAATAATAAGCTTAATAAGTAGGTATATGTTGATGACAAAATATTCATTGATATTTATTTTGACCTCAGAAATATGAGCAGCAAAAATTTAGAACCCAGGCCAACACTGCTACGTCATTTACTTCTGTGCTTAAGTTTTATACTCTATGTATCTTCTGGTGTCTCTCAAATATTTCTTTAATTAAAATCAGGTAGAAAACACTATCGAATAATAAAAAGGCGTTAATTAAAAATTAATTCTGGAAAAAAATTACAAGTAAACATTAAATGTAATGATGTAGATGAACAACAAAACCCTCTTTTAAAGTAATACGTTCCAGATAAAAAAGCATGCTTTGTTTTTAAGCTTTTAAATCGTTCTGAATATGCATTATAACATTCCATAGAATATAAAACCCACCTAGAAGAGAGCGAAGCAGAGGTCTCAGCACTACGTGAGAAAGAGGACGCACTATCGTCTCGCCTCGCTCACATCAGATCTGAGATAAAAGCAGTGAGGAACGACAGACGTAATTTGGCAGACACAATGACATCTGAACTTACGCGTACGAATGATTTGTCAGACGGCAAGAAACAACTTGCTGCTGAGATTGAGAGGCTTAAGTAAGTCTTGTGTTTGATAAACGGTTTTCAACTGAGCCTCAGTTAGACTATCATACATTATTTTTATAGTGAAGTCATAAGGAGTTGTATATTTCCAACAATAAATAATTTTATGCTTATGCTGCATGCTTCTTCATTAGATTGTCCACAACCTCTTTAGGTCTGGACCTCAGATTTCTGAATCTGTTTCATGATCATTTTTCAATCTAATAGGCAAGTAGGTGATCAACCTCCTGTGTCTGACACACGCCGTCGACTTGTTGGATCTAAGACATGTACGATTACTCACGATGTTTTCCTTCACCGTTCGAGCGAATGTTCGATACGCACATGGAAAGAAAGTCTATTGGTGCACAGCTGGGGATCGAATCTACGACCTGGGGATCGAATCTACGACCTCAGGGTTGATAGTCGCAACTGAATCCACTAGGCCAACACTGCTCATTATTTTATTTTCTGTTATTTAGCAAAGATAAAATGTATACATTATTAATGAAACTCATTTCACATTTTGAAATTTCAGTTAAAAAAAAGGATTCGTTTTAGTGTTAGCTTTGTATTTGGCTTACCAAAAACTTTTCAGTTAGTCTTTGCGATTGTTTATTTAGGAAACTGAAATAATTACAGGCCCCAACAAGCACAACTCCAAAGAGAGTTGGCAGCTCAAACCATGTCAGTACAGCAACGGGATGGATTGCTCGATAAGCTTGACTTCAACCGAAGAGTCGTTGATACAAAATGGACACTTGCTGAAGATATTTCTAAAGTAAGAAAAGTTATTTAATTTTTTAAATTAAGTTAAAAAATCAGCCTCAATTAAAAACAGTTTGATAGCCATAGGTGAGGTCAACATCTGCATATTATTTAGAATCTATAATTGCAGCAATTCAGTTAAGAAACCACCATGTCTTTTCAAAAATGTGTATTTTTTGTTTCTCTTTTGTTTAAATATATTTTTCTGCTTTAAAAAAATTTAAGTATGTTTTTAATGTTGTTAATTGAATTATTTTTTTAAATAAATAATGTTATTTGAGCTGTTATGTGATTTGGCAATTTATTTTGTTAAAATGTAGGTTTCTGATGATATTATACACATGAATAAAGATCTTTTTAATGTGTTACAAAAAAAAAAATTTAAATAAAATGTAGCTTATTTTTTATTGTGTAAAATTAAAAATTTGTAAAATAATTATGTTTAGCAAATTTTTTATTTAGATAAATTTTATATTCTGATTTGAATTTTCAGAAGCTGATAAACAAGGAGAATGAATTGGCTCTATGGCAAAAGCTTGCCCTTGAGACTTGTGCTAAGTACAAGCAAGGACTCATAGACCTCACCCCGGTTTGTCCACACCTGGCCTCACTCGCTGTAGATGAATCGTGGGTACCATTTATATTATCTGGACATACTTGGGACTGACCCACTCGCCATTTAAATTTAAAGTAATTCACCGTCGTTATATGACTTTTAGTGAACTCAAATAATATACAATTGTAATAACATCACATGCAGGTCAAACTTATAAGCTTTTTTTTAAAACGGCAAAAAAAAAATTATTATAAAAAATGTCAAATAAAAAAAAACCTGAAAATGTCACTGATGGTTGTTGTCTGAGGGTTTTCAAAGAAATTATTATTATGTATTTGCAGTGAGGTGATGAGTGAGCAATGCATCCAAATGATGGCTCGAGCAGTAGAAGAGCTGCAGCGTGAGCAGACGGTGCTGGCCGATCGCCGTTCTCAACGAGCTAGGTCCAAGACGCAGCTGCATAGGCGGAATGCGCAAATGGCGGTTAGCTTTACTTGTCTCTTATTGTCTTATTTAAGTTAGGGAATATGGTAAGAGGGACAGCAAAGAGTTATACTGCTGCAAAGTACAAAATAAGGAAAAGAGTGGGGCTCTTTAAAAGATGTATAAGATTTATTTGAACTTATCAATATAAAATAGTTTGCAAAGAGCCTTTGCCAAAAAAGGTAGATAACAAGGGAGTTTCTCAATTTAAAACGAAAATATGTTGTAATGAAGTTTCTAAAATATGAGGATTATTACTAATTTCAAAGTCCCTAAGTTTGGATGTTAACGGTGTTAAAACACTTGGTTTAGTACTAACACGTCGGTACTGACCACTAATACCCGAGGTATGATGGACAAAATCGGAAAAAGTATTAGAACTAAAATGATTCTGTCTAACTCAGTGTTTCCCCAACGTGGGCCCACATTATATACAAAAATTTATTAAAATTGTTTGTAAATTGAATTTCAGTTTTTCATTGTTTCATTAACAATTTCTCAAGTTAATTCTAAAAAATGTTATCAAGATACAACCTATCGTTTAGGATTCATAAGTGCGCCATTAATTTTTTTAATATTATAAATTATGTATGGGCATACATAAAATACTTATGTATTTTATGTATGGCAAAAAAGGTTGAGAAACACTGGCCTAACTCAAATCAAATTATATTGTATAGAATGATTTTTTTTTATGATTGGACAATTCACACCAATTGACCTAGTCCCATGCTAAGCTGGTGAAGCTTGTGTTATGGGTACTAGGCAACGGATATACATACATATTATAGATAGATAGACATATAAATACATATTTAAACACCCAAGACCTAAGCACAACACCAAATGTTCATCACATCGATGTTTGTCTCAGCCGGGGATCGAACCCGGACCCATGGATTTGCAGTCAGGGGTACTAACCACTAGACCAATGAGCCGTCAAATTTAAAAATTACAAAATATTATTTCCAGGAGGAAACCCGTTCAAAGATATCAGAAGTGAAAATGTCAATTGACCGTGAACAGCAAGTTTTGGAGGAGGAGATGACATCTGATGCAGCATCAGCAGCTGCCTGGAGCCGGGAAGAGGCCGAGTTCGAACAGAGAACTGAGGAGATGAAGGCAGAGCTCATGAGGTACCAGGAGATAGAGGACCAGCTCAAACAGATGCAAGAACAGCATAATCTGTAAGTATTTATTTCTAGTGCTTCTTAATTCCAGGTTTACTGGATTTTTATTAAAATCAAACTGGAAATTTTGTGTCAAATATCAAATTAAAATGTTAATATAATAATTTTGAGATTACAAAATTAAATTGTTTTTGAATATTACAAATTTAAAACAGAAATTTAACATAGGACTTGTGGGGAATAACCAAAGACAATTATTAAAGTAAATAGACACGCTAAGAAAAAGCCGTAACTCGTGGTTATAATTATTACGAATTTTGACGATGGATGCCAGAAGCTGTATCAAATTAACAAATATTTACCTATTAATTCAATCAATTATTATTGGTAAATAATTGGAATTGCGAGTAAAACTTGATTTTTACTTCTTTTTTTAATTTGTTAAAATATAGATAGTTTTTTGTATTAGCTATTCTTATTTATTTTTTGATTACATATATTAAAAAAATACTTTTTTACCTTATTTGGAGGAAGAAAACCATGTCATCATCATACAAGTATCGCAGGAGAACCGGGCGTACTTGCAGTATTTGTCATTTGTTCTCAGTTAGTCTCGTGATTAACACGTATTGTTTTGAATTTTAAAAAAGCCAGTGGAATACAGAAGCAATTAAAACGTATTTTCTTAGGTGACATGAACTATCAAATAACTGGAATTTTAAGATTCGCGAGGTTAAATTGAATGTTAATGAAAGAGCAAATCTCGTCGTTCGAGAATGTATTATATTCTGAAAAAACGTCGTAGTCGTTGTCGGTCTGGGTAGTTTAAAAATAATTAGAGGTATGCATTTCGATATTCGAAAAAAAAATGAGTGAAAAGATTTTTTAAATTTTAACTAGCAAACCGGCCAAGCGTTGCTGTGGCTAAGGTTTTTGTTATATTACATAGTAGTAAACTATTCAAGGGAAACGGTAGGAGAACACCAGTCATGGAGACCACCATGCTTTTTTGGTGGTTATGCCATTAAATTGTAGCTTATGTAAAACGTTGGTACTTTCAACACAGCGCCATCTGTTAAAATTGTGACTATCAAATAATAAACAAATATTTGCAATAAAATAATATTGCGGGTATAAATTGAGATGTAAGCTTTTAAGTTAGATCAAACTGCACACGATGTGCAAATTTTTATTGAAATGGGTTCAGTAGTTTAGGAGTCCATAGCGGACAAACAACGTGACACGTAATTTATATATATTAAGATATAAGCTTAAGGGTATAGCTAACTATAAATTATCTAGGCTTTATATTTTTTCACAGCTTAAAAGAGCGAGTAGCGTATTTGAAGTCTGTAGCGGATGCTGCGCGTACGCACGCAGACAAAGTATTGGAAAGATCACGAATACGACACGAACGATTGCTGCGGGATGCGATAGACAAGGTCAGGGAAAGGATTCGTAAGGATTTCCAGTGATTCCTTCGTTTATTATAACATACAACATCATACAATATTTATAGTGAATATTAATAACTAACTGTCCATGCCTTGATATTATTAACATACATGTTCAGCAAAAATAACATTTTAAATGCCTATGATGTAATGTGTATGTAGTGGCGATGGCGTAATTAATCATTGCTAAGTAAATATTCTTTAGATTATAATGTGTATCAATTGTAATAATTATTAAAATGTATTTTCAGTGGTTTTTAATTACATAGTCAAAAATTTAAAATGCCTTTTATTTATGTAACATTGTCAAGCGTGATTTCTACATTTTCTTCAACATTAAGGCAGTGTGTTTTAAACTCTTGTTGCGTCCAGACGTGTGGACGGTTTGAACCACTCTTTCTTTTTATTTCTGCTGCCGGAGGTGGTATTGCAGGTTTAAAGGCCATTTGCGAGCCGTTGTAGTTGTCAAATATTTGAAGAGGACTCCTGGTAATACAAAAGTTTTCAATTAAAAAATCTATTAGGTAAACTGGTATATAGCGCAAAAATAACTAAGGTTTGCACAGTAATTGACTAATCAAGGAGACAATGTTCATAACAAATATTAAACCATTTCAGTATATACTGCCTTCTGCCTCTGAACTTTTACTGAAATACTTACAAAGTTTTCATGTGTTTAGACTTAAAATATGGTACACAAGACATGGTGCTTGGTGGTGAATTAGAAATAAAATATATAATCCTCACATTTTCAAAAGCTCATTGGGCAGCGGTCCTCCAGCAAGTAAAGCGTTAGCTACTTTGACAGTAGTAGGATGGTAATGTCGAGATAGAGCACTTAGTTCATAAAGTGTCGCCGCATGCGCAGCGCAATGTTCAGGCGACTTCGCGAAAGGATCAAAACGACCAGATCCAACTATTTCTTCCGTGTCTAGGAGGGAGGAGACAGATTTGCTTTGCTGAAAAAATTATGTTAAACATTAATTATAAAACTAAAAACAATCGGAATTCCAAACCCGGACAGTTTAGTTAAATAGCAATAACATGTGTTATTAAAATTTAAGAAAGTCTAGAGTAGTATTTCAATCTTATGGTGAGCAGTCCTAAATGAAGCTATGACATATTAATTAAAATAATCTACTAACCTCCTTATTCAAAGAGACTAAATCCGTATAAATTACACTTTTTAACTAAAGTACTTGGTCTCTTCTGTCAAATTGTATTTACGCTATTATCAAAAGAGCCAGAAGTATTCCAGTTTAAATACAATTTTTTAAAGGAATCCTTAAAATTTCTAAATTCTACGCAAATTTCATTTGTCTTCTAACTGCGTTTCCTTAATTTTTTTTTACTTGAAGTAAATAAAAGTTTTAAATCAACCAACTATATAAATTAGTTGTACCTGTACAAGTTGGTGAAGCAAAGTAAGAGCAGCCAATGCCGCGTGATGTTGTTGTTGGATTGCAAGCGTTCCCAAACGTTTGCTGAATGCCAAAAGCACACTGGCCGATACGCGTCTAGCACGACCACAAATGGCTGATATCGCCTCCAGTACTAAGCGATTTTCTGAATCGTTTGATGCTGGAAATAAAATATTAGAAATATTATATTTATAGATACACTTACACATTAAATGCAGTCCATTATGATAATGTCTGTGCGGAAAGAACTGTCGTGGGATTTAAGGTTGCGGCAGAGTTAAACTACGTTTTTGTTATGTTTACAACAGTTTTACGTTATTATAGTTTCACAGTAATTATGTGATAAGAAAAGTATATAACTTTTGTGAATAAATGAAATTACGTATAGCAAATTAAAAAATTCAATTAATTAGCATAACTGTCACCCTTTTCGCACAGACGTAAAATCTGTATTTTACCACGTGTTGGTAATCCACCAATGACATAATTGTATATACTTACCTATATTAATATTTGAAAAAAAAATGGTATACATTATTATTTAAAAGGGGTGAAATTGTGCAACCAGACTAAGCGCGAACTATTACTCCAGTATATCATAATTCAATACATTTTTGTCTGCCGTGCCTTAAAACCCGACATATCGCAGGATTCTACACAATTTTTTATAAATATTTACTTACCAGCGTGTACGGTGAGGGCACTTGCGTACAAATGGTCGTGAAAGTGGTGGGGGTCAATGTTAAGCGCGTCCCCAGCACCCGATAACATCGCAAGTACTGTACGAACGCACAAAAGCCTAGAACGAGCATCGACTAATTCGTCACGAACTAGCTGCGTCAGAATCGCAACTAAATCACTGTAGTACTCCAAATTTATGACATGTGTGAATCTGTGGAAATTCAAGAACCTGTAGAACTAAATTACACATCGTATTCTTATTCTAAAGTTAAAATAAATTGAAAAGAAAAAACGACGGATAACGTTTATTAGTTATTATCCAACCAGTTACGAACAAGCTATTGGACTAAAAACCTTTTAAGATCATTAAATTCTCAATAGTAATATGAACTTATTATTAATTGACGTAAAGAAAATATACATAGGCAGTTAATTTTTACATACATATGCCTAATTTAAAATCACATGCATATATTTTTTTACAAAATCTGAACGACATCAAGACAATATTATTCTGCAGAAGGCGTGACTTTTTCTTCTATTTAAAATTTAATCTCGAGATTAAAAAACGTAACATATTACATTGTTATTACAAACAGTAACATTTTTACGATGGTTAGTTGTTTATATGATATTGACAAGTATAAAAACAAAAAAGTATTTAGAAACATTAAAAATACTTTAACATTATTTACTTAGATACTTTACAAGAAGGAAAATCTATATCTTTTATGTATCTCACATTCCACTTAGTAAAACATATGCTTAATTAGTTTAAAAAACATAACTTAGATAAACATATCATAAAAACTATTAAACCGATTTCTCGGTTAAAAATAAGTTTACTTACTTAGCTAATCCCTGTAAAACAGCGATGAGTAGTTTTGACCTGGGAGCGGTTTTAAGCAACCGGAAGTAAATATGGAAGGCGAGTCGGGTAACTTCCGTGAGCTGCTTCAGTCGAGCAGTTTCGTTCTCTTTAGCTTCTGTTTCTAGAAGTTCTCGTTCTACTTCTTTAAGTTTCTTGGCACGCTAGACATAGTTTTTTTTATTAAATATGACGTGTGAGTATCATTTTGAAAGTAAAATACGCGTTTTTTAATTAGTAAATTTTCCTTTCATTTTGTATACATAACGAATTTTTTTGTGTCTATTTGTAAAACGTTACGAAGCGGGGCGGGGTTTGAATTACGCGTTATTGTTAGTATTATTTTCGACTTTCCAGTACTTTACACCACATAATTTAGGTATTTAAAGAGTCACTGGGTGGTCACGAAACGTTTTACAGAAAAACGTTACGGCGTATAATACATGGGGGGGTCAATAATCTCCAAAAATTGCGTGACGTAATACTTGAACGCTCCCCGACGAAAAATACCTGACAGTCTGTTTGATTGCTAGTGAAAAAATTATTGTTTTAGTTTTGTAGGCAAAATAAAATGACGAGACTTTACAAACACATGGGAGCTACCCGAATTAACAACTCTATATGAAATCTCAAATTAAATATTTGATTCTCGTTTCGTAAAACGCCATCTATCAGTAAAACATTAAAACTAATATTGTAATACTTATTTTTAAAGATCTTATTTCCAAACATAATTATGTGACAATTTTGAATAAATACCTTTTTCTCCTTCTTTGATAAATTCACAATTCGTTTCTTATGCTTCTCATCTTGTTTCTTCTTCATCTTAATATCCGTCTCGGCATCAAGTTGAACATCTGCGATCTTCAGTGACAGTAGGCAGTCTAATGCGGTTGGTTGTAAGCGTTCACCGCGGCGTTTAACTAATTGGTTAATTAGACGTACTATCTGTAAATATAAAGAACGGTTAGATCTAATGGTTAAACCACAACTGATGTTTTATTTAGTATTTTATTTATAATATACTACAAACTTACTATATATTATTTTACTACGAAATTATATTATAAATAAAATACTAAAAATATTAGTTTTAGTTGAATTACGAAAAAACCGTTTAATCGAATATAATGTATAATGATTGATTTTTATAAATTTTTTTTGGAAAACAGTTTGAATTTAAAATTAAACAAAAGCATCGCTCGCACAGAACATGAAGTATTTAAATTCTATGAAAGGCGATAGGTCCGAGCTGTCAAAAACTTATCTTATTTTATTGACGTATACGTTTGTGCTCTGTGATCGTCACGAATGAAACATCGGGATTTTGAAATCCCAAATAAAAACCGTTTAAATTTTATTTATCATTACATGTAACAATAATCTTTTATGACAATACAATAGAATTTTGAAGTTTTTTTTAATTAAAATTTTAACTTACATCAAGGGTGATCTCTCCCTTTCTATCTTCTTTAAAAACATTACAGCAACATTCAGTAACTAAGCTCCTGGCTTCAGGTATGGGACTGTCTAGAAACGGTACCACACTTTGGGCTATGTTAGTTGAAAAGTTGAAGTTGGGCTTGGCTTCAAGAAGACTGCACATTGATCGAAGAGAAAGTAGCGCTAGACTAGTTGTCGGTGGATCTAGTTTCCTGAAAACATAAATACATAATTAAGTTCTAATTTCTTTACATTTTTTTTTGCTTTATAGCTTACAAATGTGATGAGTCTATTTAGTTGTATAATAAGAATGTACAATATGGACAGTTCTATTAAGTTATTTTTAATATACACTGGCTAATTTTCAGATTATTTTGTTGATGCAAGGTATTGAGTAATAACATTTATATATGTATCTTTTCTTGCATATATAAATAGTATTATTGTTAACGTTTACATTTATATCGGTTGTTTATACTCAAACTCAAATTATTACCGATTATCGCCTTTCTTCTTTCTCAATAAATTAGCAGCTTTCTCTACTCTAACAAGGTATCTCTTGTAAAACTCTAATAGCTCCTTTTCAAACTTGTATAAAGCCAGTGTGTCCTTTTTTACTGAAAAAATTTTTTGATGTTAATTTTATACTTCAGACTAAACAATACCTAATATTGAAATAATTTACATCAAAAAGTTGTTTAGATTAATTCTGCATTGGCGGCTATCTCAGTAAGACTGGCATATTTCATGGCGCACAATCTGTGTACAGACACAGTTGCACTCTCTGTTCCATAAATCTCATAGCCAGATGGCATAGATCTGTCTGATAAACCAGACTATAGCTATACTACTAGGAGGAGACAGCAAACCCAAGGAAAGACAGTAACCCAGGAACAGAGGTGTTCTAACACAACCAACATTACTTAGGGTTACCATATTGTTAAAAAACGTAAATAATACATTTCTCGAATAGATACATTAATGCCTGCCTTCCACTGCGAGCGGAACGGACACATTACGGAATCCGCTATAATCGTAACGATGATTTTCATACATGTGCTTCCACCAAAGCGGGCCGAGCGCAGCGGAGAGAGCGAGTTGAAAGAGTCACATATGAGGTTAGCGAGTTGACCAAGTTTCCCACGGAAATGAAAATGTATGAAAATCATCGTTACGAGTATAGCGGAGTCCGTAATGGGTCCGTTCCGCTCGCTGTGGAAGGCGGGCATAATTCATGAAAGCAACATCCCTAACTGTCACATCAATAATACTCACATTTGATGTCAGAATAATCTTGATGCCTAATCCTGTATTCTGGTAAAATATCGCTAAATACCTCAGCAGCAGATACAGTTGCCAGCTTACGTACTGACAGTAGATTTAAAGAACCATCCTTTAGTTTGTCTTCCATCAAATATAGAATAGGATATAGATTCTTAAGCTGAAATATGATACAAACTTATTAACTTCAAATTATTGTGTTTTTTCTCTTGTTACCCTACAAGTATTCTTAATAATTTGTCAATCTCTTACTAAGAATTAAAATGGCTTTGCATCTTAATAACCAGAGATAGATAGAAATTTAAACCTGTACGGTACTGTTGTCCTGTTCAGAGTGCCTAATCTCCACCAACCACAACAACAACCACAGATAGAAGTTTAATAGAATTTAAAAAATATATATAATGTTATATTGACAGATTACAAAAGTCAAATTCGAAGGATATACATAAATTTGTTTGAAGAAATTGTATCCAATACCCTTAAATACCTTTTTCTCTGGACTCTCAAGCAGAGAGGAACAAAGTGCTCCAATCCTTAGTTTCTCATGCTGTAGCCGATTTCTTCTCTCAGCCAACAGCTCCACTGTAGTCACAACTCTACCTTCTTCCTCACCAGGGTCTAAACCAGAATCTGATTCAGGATCTACTTCATCCCCTGATTCTTGATGTTCCTGTTCATCCCCAGATTCTTCAAGTTGCAATTCTTCGTCTTTGTCATTTGATCCAGTGTCTGATACTGAAAATAATACAATATATATAATACTAAAGGTTAAAAATATAAGTTAACACTCAATTGTTTGCAATAATTTTTGGCTAAGATTCACAATCGGCATTGACACTTATCTGCACTTAACGGGGTATTGTTAACAGTACTTTAATATTATCTTTGGACAGCTATACTATATGTGTAAAAAACTTACTGTTGCTGATCTGAAATGCATTTGAAATGTTTAATTTTGTAATAATGTATCTGCTAAAGAAGCTTCATTAAAATAATAGTAGTTTATTCATTAGAATAAAAGATATTAACATGCAACTTATAATAAATCACACATACATTAAATATTAAACATAACCATAGTAAAACATACAAGTTCATGAAAGGTCTCCTATTTATTTCATCTGTATTTCAACTATAATTGCCCATTTGGTGATGCACAATTTGCAACTTACTTTTGCTAAGCATAGCCATGTATTTCCAGATTTTACAAATTATGTAGAAGCAACTCATCACTAATACCAGTCTTAGGTGAATTATTTTAAACTTACATTCCATCTCCTCAGCTCTCTGTACAATTCCTTCTTTTGTCTTGATGGGAAGTAATGGTCTTAGTTTCTTAACTGGTTTGTCAGCCTGTTCTTGTTCATATTTTTCTTCCATATCAGTTTCTGCTCCACTGTCACGTTCTTGGTTCTGTACTTTCACTCGACTTCTTTTCCTTTTTTTTCCTTGCCTGTGTAAGTGGAATATGATTATTATAGAATCTATTGGTATTTGTTGAGTGTCTTAACCACATTGTATAGCTTAAAAAGAGCTTACAGTATTAATTACGGTTATCATGTAAGTAAAGTATTTGGATCAGTAACCAGAACTTACTTGTTGCTCTCTTCCTCCTCTGGAACATTGGACAGCAGTTGAGGTTGCTTTGCTAGCCTTGTTAGAATATACTTCTGTTCCTCATCATCCAACATGTCAGCCCATTCATTGGTAGACTCTTCACTTTCACTGCTATATTCTATTTGCTTCTGTAGAGGTTGCTTTTGTTTCTGTAGTTTCTGTTTATGCCTTTGTAATTTCAGTTTACCAGCCTTCTTCATTTTATTTGTGGTGTGGTTAGTTCTCTTTAACTTACTAATTTTTGGTTTGCTTTTTTTCTGTAATAACGAGCAAATTCAATGGGAGTCAAATTTATAGTTTAAAGTAAAATATAATTTTAAAACTTTGAACTATGCAAAACATAAATGTTACACTTACCGCCATTTTAATGTTGATAACTACTTCTATGCACTTAAATAATAAATATTTATTAAATACAAGTAGTAAGGTAAAAACAAATTATTAATTAATATTCAATATTTGAACCAATTTAAACCATGGTACAAAATAAACCGCATGCTGTTTTGACTTTATGTCATAACTGACATTTGACAAACTGCTGAAAATTATATATAGTCACTTGACAACTGACATAGGATATTTTTTTAATATTTCGTTTAGAATTCAGGAGGAAAGTAATAATAGATGAAATGGAAAAGTTACATAAAGGTAAATAAATTATATTGTAAGTGCTATATTTTTTGTTATTTTTTAATTTACCTTGCAGATTTAAAATAAAAAATGTAATATTTTTACACCACAACACAGATCAAACAGGTTTCTAAACAAACTCAAACTTTCTAAATAAGTCTAAACGTCAAGTCAGTTACAAAGACCTCGAAACTTTCTTGCGTTTTTAAATTCAAGTTTTTCTAGTTTTCTAAGTGTAAGTGTGATGGATATAATCAGAAATCCATAAATTATTAAAATGTTTTACGTTCCTTACTTAACTTTTTTCAAGATTCAATTGCTAGAAGTGTAAAAGTTTGAGTATGGTGCCTCAACAGCAAAGAAGAAGGCGTCGACGGGCTGTATTGTCCAAGAATGCAGAAAGACGGGTCGTAGTAGTTAGAGGAGCTGGTGGTTTTGGATTTACAATTGCAGGACAGCGTCCTTGTGTCGTTTCTGCCGTGGCAACCGGTGGACCGGCAGAACGAGCAGGTCTCCGCACTGGAGATGCTTTACTAGCTGTGGACGGAGCCAATGTTTCGCGATCTCCTCACGCGTCCGTAGCTAGGACGATAGCAGGAGCGGATGGGCCGATTGCACTCACAGTTGCACCTAGAGAATCTCCACCTACCGATACAGAAGATACGGAACCAGAAGAGCGTGCTAGAACTCGTAGGAGATATCCTCCTCCGCGGAGAAGACCACAGCCTGCTGTGTTGCATCATCCAGGTATGTTGGAACTATTCCTTTTATTATTACGGTGGTGGCGTTATTGTAAGTTATCATTTAAAATTTAAAAATCTGATTTTTCAATGTATGAGTACTTACTTAGCTTATTGCACAGGGTGCTAGTATTATTTTTTCAGCTAGTATAATTTGGACAGAACCTGTTCTAAGTTTGAAATGTGTATTTCAGAATAAATTTTTTTAAATTGTTTTTCAGGTGACTTGATGCCCAATACAATAAGTATGTGAGTAATTTAGTATTGTCTCTGAGCTCACATCCTACTGTATGTGTTTTCACCATTGTGTGTGTCTGCATAATAATATTTTTTTGAATTCTGTTTGATTTTAATTATAGTGCATATATTGTTACTAATTTGTAAATATGTAAACTGGTTTTCCATAAGTTAATAAATTAATTAATATTCATAACAAATCTCTAACTCTAATTACAGGTAGGTAGGTAATTTAAACAGTTTATAGAAAGGTAAACATGCTGTAAAATGTATTGAATGATAACACATTATTGTAGTCAAGTTTGGTAGTATGTTTGTTGATATATGCACATTTTTATGTAGTTTATTTCTGAAATTTCATGTTCCATTAACTAAAGTTCACATTTACTTTGCACATATGAACTTTTTATGTATATAAAATTATAAATACAGTCAAAACCGTTTATAACGACATCGTTTACAACGACCTATCGATTATTACAACCAGATTGTTTGGTCCCGTCCGAATCCCTAGTAAACTATTCAGTAAACAAACCGCTTATAACAACATCGGATACAGCGACATATCGCTTACAACGACGAAATTTTATCGACATTCATCGGCTATAACGACCAACCGCTTCTTGTCTCAGCAAAACAAAACAATACAAACGAATTTAAATCTTATTTATAAGCATTGAATGAATATTTAGGCATATTATTACCTACGCACTTTCTCCCGCCTCATCCGAACCTCTTCCCGGCCATTTGACCTTGCATAGGTACTTTACACATGTTTAGTTCGCTAATTGACTGCGTGAGTAACAGTTTGATTTAAAAGTGTTGGTGTTCTTTAGACTTTGCAATTGTGCATTTATGTGTTATCATGTCGCAAAAAAATCTCATGTCATATAGATAAAATGCAAAAAATATTTAAGACTGGGGTTAAAAAAAAAACAGACCAAAATGACTGATTACTTTTGTACCTAATTATTTCGCAATAAATATTTTTGTTTCTTTTTTGACTCCTTTACATATTAGAATATAAACATACTTACCATATTATAACCCATACCTACCTTTTCTAGATAGATAACTATGATAATATAACTATGTACATACATATGTACCTACTATACTTGTGTATAATATATGACATTGCTTATAACGACTATCGGATATAACGTCGGCAACTATGCGGTCCCTTCAATGTCGTTATAAACGGTTTTGACTGTATGTATATACAAAAATGTATGTGATGCATGCTTCTTTCCACCAGCTTATATAGATTTTTTTTAAAGTTTTATTGTCTGTATTTGTAACTATAATAGAAAATGAAATCATAGTGGCATTTAATAATTTTATTAAGTGGCCAAATAAGTGTACATATAATTTTATAAAATTTTCAATAGTATTTTTAAATAAATTCATGTGACCTTAAGGTGGAAAGAATCCATCATAGAAAGATATTTTGAATGACAGATTTATTTAACGAAATTTAACTATAGACTATTTGGATCAAATTAAACAAAACATTTAAATGTTTATCCTACTGTACAAGTTGTGTCTTATCCTAAAACATATTCCACACTGCCATTTCGTTTATACCAAAATTTTGTCTCTACTCTCAACCAAAACTGAAGTGGTATCATAATTCTACATTTAATCTTTTATCTGAATGTCCCATAAAATATATTTTTGCATTTTTCAGGTTGTCATGCTGCTCCTACAACGTCCGGCATCAGCGAAATTCTTCAAAACTTAAGTCGCGCTCAGCTTGCGCCAAACCAAGCTGCGCGGTTGGAATGCCGTGCAGTTGTGGGCTATTTAGGCACTATAGAAACGCCTCAAGCTACAGCCAATTCCGCTCCAGAAAACGTCAGAAATGCTGTAAGAAAACTTCGTCAAGAAAGACGAGCAGCGACACCAGTCCTTTTATCAGTTCTTCCTAGTTCATTACTACTTCGAAGACCATCGGGACAAGTACTAGCTCAGTATCAGCGAGAAAGAATAGTTTACGCTGGTTGTGGTTCTGAAGCTGATAGGAGATTCTTTGGACTTGTAACAGCAGCCGAAGTAAGTGACTCGGAAGCTGAAGCGTCTCATTCTTGTCATGTTTTTGTGGTTGATCCGCGAATGACAGAACACGAAGCGCATGTAACAAGAGCTAAAGAGTTTCAAATTAATTGTACCAGAGATCCTGTTGCGGAGCGCTGCTTAGAATTTCCGCCATCTGCTGAATACGTCGTGGGAGTTATACGAGGAATGTACTCTTTGCCACCTGACGATTGCGCTAGTCCCGTACTTCAGCAAATATCAAAATTAACTGTGAAAAGTGATAGTCCAGCCCCAAGTAATTTCTCACGGTGTAATAGACCTGCGTTCAGACCAGTCCGCGACAGACGACCTTGTAGACATGAAGAGATACGAATGGAGCCTGAATTTGTCGCTAACTCTCCCCAACCAAGTAATCACAGTGAAATCACAACTACGTCTAGTAATAGCGACTCAGGCATTGGTTTCCATAATGACTGTAGAAATATTGCGGATAGAATATTGGTTGTTGACTTCGCGAATCAGCAGCCAGTTCCGAATCGGTATCATCAAGAAATTTCTCGGCCTCTAGGATTGGTTGGTTGTAGTAGTTTTGACGCAGATGGATCCTTTTTATCAAATACAACCCCAGTAGTTGATGGATTCGGTGGACAGGGCAGGCCATTGAATTTGGATGACGTGATACTAAACGCGAATGATTTGGCAAGGCATAATCCTAGAAGCGAGGATGACAATTATAATTACAATAATATATATGGTAATATGCCATCAGGTTCACGAGGGTTCAATGGTGCAGTATATGATCAGGTATACACAGAGAATGAGGGACACTATGAGTTCATACCATCGAATTTGGAGATGGATGAGGTAGATCGCGTTGGCGAGACTTTTAATTCTGTGGAGATTTACGAAGAGCGAGCGAGGCATCCAGACTACCATTCTAATGAGTCGGTGGAAAATGTGACAGTTATTTCAGGGAGAAGTAAGATTAGTATGGACACAGTATCTGTATACTCGTCTCGGAGTCATGAGGAAGCTCGGCCGTCACGAAGAAAGCATCTTCAGGCTTCATTGGATGATATGCTTGTACTTGGACTGCGGGATCAACCTCAAGAGTCTGATAAAGATGAGGGTAAATTCTTGCATCCCGGTGCTGTTAAATGCAAGGTAAAAATTATAATACTTTTGTGTACCTATATTATAACCTATATACACTTTTTAAAAGTATAACGGAAGTTAAGGGGATATTATTATATATTTTAGAAGAAAATACAAGTTACAATATCTATCAAAAGTTCATATAATTACAATAATGTTTTAACTTTTAGGTACGCAAATCTATCAAGCCGTTTAACCTGTTATCAAAAACGAAGAATATGTTGACGGGCAAGAGTGACAAACAAGAAGAGGACGGTCGGCGTAGGTCGTTAAGCGCAAGCGCAGGCGATGAATCACACGTCGAAGATGCGTTGCCAGCTGCTGCTAGTGAACCCGATCTAAGAGATACACAGGTTAGTACTTAAAAATCATACTGCTTATAAATGGTATCCAAATATATATAATAAATCCTAAGTAATTCACTTAAGCTTAAGGTAATACTTATTCTGTTAATTCAAGTCGGTAGGAATAAAACTAGTGTCTAATAAAACAAAGTGAACTCAACAATTGCAGTTATCAGATTATGCGGTAATATAGGTGGGCCATCTATTATGATTATTATTGATTGATTGATTTCGAGTATTGTGCAGGAATAGCTTTCAATAGCGACACCGGTCGAGACGTTTTTGTATGCAATTTCGGTATAGTTCTTTCAATATTCGGCGCGCTGATGTCGAAATCGTGAAATAGCGCAGTGCAAAAATTCTATATGGAAAACCGGATTTCTATTATCAGTTACATAGTACAGGCTCCGATTTTTATTCTTCTTTTCTTTTATTAAATATCTTTGCTTATATTAGACATTTAGTTCTATAGTTGTATCGCGAAACCACCCTAAGTGGTACACAAATTTACAATCTAATATATAAAATTCTCGTGTCGCCGTGTTTGTAGTTAAACTCCTCTGAAACGACTTGACCAATTCTCATGAAATTTTGTGTGCATATTGGGTATGTCTGAGAATCGGACAACATCTATTTTTCATCCCCCTAAACGTTAAGGGTAGTCTACCTCTAAATTTTTTTTTTTAAATTTTTAAATAAATTTTTTATGATACAGCATAAAAAAATACATACAACCCCTAATTTTCACCCCTCTACGATCAACCCCTATTTTTTATTATAAATGATATACATCGCAAATCGACGTTTGCCAGGTCAGATAGTAATATCTACTAGACCTTTAAGCATGGTTAATAAAGGCCCTTTAGTACATTCAACTATTCGTTCTAAATACATACTATCAACGTTTCGTCGTATTGTTTATTTTTACATTTCCCAATACGATCGTTATCAACTCGTTATCAATGCAGAAGGGCCGTTAAATATAGAACGAAGGTCGAGTTACGTTTGTTTTGTGTTTTTTAAATAAGGGAAATTTATATAAAGCTATTTACAGGCAACTGGCGACATGATTCATACGTTCTTTAAACTGGAACAAATAAAATCTGCGATTATGTAATATTCAAATACAGTGTAAACTCTATATAACGACACCGAAGGGACTGTGCATTTTATGGCGATATTGAGAATTGTCGTTAAATGGAGAGAAGAAAAATATGAATAAGAAAAAGTTTATTTCAGACTAGTGTTCAATGTACATAAAAAAGAATCTTAATTGAATGCTATTGCGTATAGTCTGTTATTTTTGTCTGACAACTTTTGCTGCAACAGTAATTTTGTTGTATTTTATTACTTATTTTATTAATAACTTGCGATATTGAGGCATCTTGGTGATAAAGGAAGTATTTTCCTTGTTCTTTTCTTGATCCTCAGTGTTTTTTACTGAAACTCCCGTTTCTATTGCGCGTATCAGTAAAACTTGTTGGTAATACACAGTGATTTTCATTTACTAGCTATGTTTACAGTTTGGAAGTTGGTGAGCATCTAAGAATATGATAACATATAGATAATCCACTTCTACTTATTAGTCATGGTCAACAACAGTCTACACGTGCAAGCAATCCCAATTTGTAAACAAAAGAACGTACACAGCTGCGCAGTTTTTACTTATATTAGCAACTTAAAAAGTACTTTATTACTCAAGAGAATGGGTGTAATGCTATGTAGAGTGGATCATTGTATGTAAGACAAGTTAAACCAACCAAAGCCAATTGATTTCGACGCTTTAGGGAGTTCGTCGTTAATTTTATGGACTGTATACATGGAGTTCACTCTGTACTTTATTTCTTGTGTGGTGATAGGTTTCATGTGTATGTTACTTTTCTTAAAATATAAAGTAACAAATTGCTTTTGCTAATAAAAAATAATTGAAAACAAAATTATATTCCAATAGCATTTGAAGCAATGAAAATAAATTTCGTGATCTCGAAATGGGTCAATAAATGGCTCGACGATATAACTGGAGACTGATTGATCGCGATGTATCGAGGCCGACTCCTGACCCAAATACGAATAGACAATACGATAAATCTTTGTCGTTGGTAATAAACTGAGTTACCTTCGTATATTGCTGTGAGGTGTTTTATAGAAGTCTTCTTTTACAGATGATACATACATTAATTGAAGTATTTTTTTTTCATAATTGTTTATTATTTTCCTTTTTTTTATTTAATTACTATTTGGTGTGTTTCTATGTGTGTGTTTCGTTAGTAATAATAAAAGTTAAATTGTTAAAAAGCTATTTTGAGAACTAGATTTTGAAAAATTTAATAATAGAAAGCTGTGCTATACCTATGTGTATTTGTTTAACATTTATAGATGTTTTCACGAAATTTCGCGCCCTCAACAGTATTCAAGTATGATATCGTATCGTATATCAAGGTCAAAATTGATTGTTATGACAAGTTAGGGACTAACGCATGGATACTTAATGTGATAATTGATATTAGTCGCAGATTCTTCTGTAAAGAGAATATAAGAATAAAATAAAATAGGCGTTGCTATAAAGCTTGTATTAGGAGAGCTTGAAAATGTGCTACGCTATTTCATATCTATATTTTTACTTGGAAAAAGCTTTACTAGGATTTTTGAAACAATTTCAAATGATTTTTTCAAGTGAATGAACAGTAGGAGAACTCATTTGGTCGAAAGATGCAAAATCTATAAATTTCATTAGCACAGAGACGGGTTAGAAAACTATACATTTCGTAACGATGTAGGAATAGTTGTTTATTTGAGTTTTATTGTACCTACTTCTAGGTAGGTGCGTGTACGCAGTATTACAACGCAGTACGCCTGTGCAAAATATTTACGTTAAATATTAACGATGTTTTCTTTGTTACAGACTAACATAATAACAGTATGTGGAAATATGAACTAAACTTATTTAGAAATATTATTGTAACACCTTTTTTTTAATACAAATTAGTATACATTATTTTAATATTAAAACCAATCGTGATCCTACATTTGCCCATAGAATGAACATTAAAAAGTTTCTTTTTAAATGAGAAAGTTATAAGCATTATTGTTACTATATATATCCTTATGAATATTTATTTATAAGGAAACTAACAGATACATCTCTTTAATAGAATGAAAATAAGTAAAATATAAAGTTATAATATAAAGGAAAGCAAAGTAGACAATGCTACCAGAAACATAACGCGTAAAAAAACAAGTGAACTACCGTAAATAGTTGTAAAATTTATTTATTAAAATAATATTAAAAAATAATTTATTAAATCTTCTAACCTATCACCTGACCCTATCAATATTAAAAATCTATTATGTTTCAAATAAATAGACTGACTGATTCAGCCTTCTAGTTTTATCCACAACTAAGCTATAGGTAGGTTCGAAAATGGCGCGAACTGTTTCGAGAAAAGGATGGTACGACCGTGCCGCTTTTTCTCTTGGCTCAAGATATATAGCAACGGATGTGTGCAGAATACGGGTAGATACAATATGGCTTTAAATGCTCAAAAATTCAACTTACTGGTACTAAATCTAGTTACGTAATATACTTGAGTTTCATGTTATGATCATGTGTGTTATTTTAAGAGCTTACTACGTGTTTTAGTTTAAACGAATGCCTCACGACTCAATAAAGTTAGCACCATACTATGTAAATGTTGATAAACATTGTCGTTACATTTTGTGTCAATGTGAAACAAAGTAATTTCTACTTTGCTTTGATTTTGATTTTGCCACCCTATTGTCACGTCACTGCCAAGACGCCACCAGCAATCGCCCATGTGTGCAATGCCCGCGTTGTGCATATCTGAGTAATCCTGGAGCCCAGCCAGCAATGTTTGCCGTTTCCCATACCTAGTGTATCAAAGCTACCCGTGAGGCTTTCAAATAATTACCAAGTACTAGATCCCTCCTTAAACCTAGCTAAGTGTATTATATATAAAACGTAAATAACTTGCGAAGAAAACGAATTATTACTAATAGGAATCTTTTTTTATAATAAGTTTTCTATATCCCGTACCTTATCACGTCTTGAAACATGATGCGTCAAATAAGTCGCAAACCACACGCAATTCGGTCATTGAAAGTTTATCAATGAATTTCGGGTTATCAAACAGACATTAAGATCTAAATATATTCCTTTATATAGAAACGAACGATTTACATAAGCTACTAGTCGTTACTGATACGATTGTTATGTTAGAAATAGAAACGGTAATACGGTAGTAAAGTACACATGACTTGCAGATTTTAGGTTTGTATATAGGTTTATGTAATTATACAACAAAGTTGCAATATTTGTTGTTGTATCTCTGGTACTTTTCGTATAATAAAGTTAATATATAAATAAAATAATATATTCATATTAAATGTAACGTAGCCGTCTAAAAACTTTAGCCACGCCACAGTATTATAATATGATATCTGAGAAAAAATTAGAATTACAATTATAATAGAAAATATTATTAATTCGTGTACCGTGGCGAATATAAGTCGCATCGTACTATTTATATTAATTAATATTTTTTTCTTGCTTTTTTTGGGGTGTGTAATAAAACAATAAATATTAAATAAGTTTTCATGCCTTTTTGAATATCTGAACACATATTTTATAAACATGAAGTACAGACAAACAGGGTTTATGTTGAGAGATCTCTTCCACTACAACTCAATGATGCGTTGGAGATCTATTTTTGTCGTGCTTAAAGATGTTTAAAGTTTTAAATAGAAATTTATTTTTACAGCTTTCCTCATTCTTTCTTAGTGCCTTTAAACTAACCTAACATTTTTGTAACCGATAGGAGATACTGTGATTGTAAATTTCGATTCTATTACACAGTATATATATTTTCTGTTGGATTATCTTATAATTTTCTTATCTCATATTAATGTATCTAGAATGACTAACAGTAACAGGGTGCCATTATAATTTTTTTATAAATGAATAGGTTCCACAATAGTTTCTTATAATTAAATCACAACGGGTT